GAACCTAGTAATCCAGGTAGAATCAAAAGAAAACTGGCAATTAGAATAAAAAATCAGGGTTCAGAGTTCAAAAACCAACGCGAAATCCTCATACCAAAAAATTTGATTTAGTTGGGATTTCGAAACGTTCCCCGTCAAAATCATTTGTCGTAATTCCTGCATATAAAATAGAGACAAAGGAACAATACGTCCAGAACAAGCTGCTAATTTTCATCCACCAGAAAAAATATTTGTTAAAATATTTCGGTTTACAAATAATGATAAATAATAAATAAATAAATAAATAAATAATTTATATCTTCAATTAACATGCCTTATTTTGACAATTCTCAAGCATTTGGGAATTGCGAAAGCGAATTTATCCCTTTATTGCATATTGTGGCCTACCGAATCGCCGATAATTAATGAATATTTTTATGAAACCGATGAAAATGACACTGTCCACATGCTATTTTATAGGACAATTCTTTTTAGCCTGATAAAAAAATGAAAGAAATTGACCTCACAAATCGTAATTTGGTAGGGCCTTTCGGTTTACCAAACAAATTGTTAGTATAGCGGGGCGCTTCGGCAGTGGCCGAAAAAATTTTTTATTAAATTTTTTGATGTGATTGACTTTTTTAAATAATTTTCGTCTATTTTGCATTTTTATCTATTTGAATTAATTTTTCTTATTCTTATTTTATTTATCACTCGTAATTACCATTTGCTTTTGTTTTAAATTTTTTCGCGCAATCGATGTTCTTTGTCACATTCGAATTGCTTGTACTACTAATAAATGGTTTCTAAGTTTGAGATCGTTACCGTTCACATCTTTTTCCCACGCAACTTAGAAGCCGGAACAATTTGCGGTAATTTGAGTAAATAAAAATCCCTGTTGCAAAACGGTTACGAGTTTATGAAGGTTTATATAATCGTTCTGTTGTAAAGTCGACGTTGATCTACACTTAGTATTGGTCGTGCCACTAATTGAAGTCATATACGATATAATTATATTTTCCTGCTACTGAATCTTCCGCACAAGAAATATCCTTGAAATGCCCTACGCCATTCCTGCTTTATGTATAGATGAAAATGCCTTCGCTTGCTTATTGTTCCTATGTAAAACATCAAAAATTATATTATAAAAATTATATTGAAAAGGTCGACATCTTATAAGAATATGGGTTAATAAGAATATAGATTAATACGATAATACGATAGCAATAAATTCGTCAAATTAAAGAAAAAGAAAAAGAAAAGACTAAAATAAAAATTAATTACATTACATAAAAGTACGGAAAAATTTAAAGTCATTAAAAGAAACAAATAATAATAATAAATAATTTTAAAAAATATTTTCAAATCAGTTTCTTAATAAATACTAATGAATTTTGAGATCGACAACAAATATTCTAATTACAAAATGCCACAAAAAATACAAGTTTTTCGAATAAATCACGAAAAAAGTAATAACACAGTTTAGGAAAACAATCTTAATAGATGATAAGTATCAAAAATGTGCAAATCAAATTCAATGAAACAATAAAATTGAAGAAAAAGGACAAAAATAATAAAAGATAAAATTAAAAATATAGTTTTCCACAAATACAACATAAAATACCATAATTTACTCGGCTGCGACAAAGAAGATGAAAAGAAGGACAAACCGTATCCGAATGGCCCCCTCGAGGAGCAAGGCCTGGAACCTACAACCGACACCTATACCCCTACTAGTGGCCAATTTTTTGACCTAGATATAATAAATATTTCACAGAAAATAATTCTTCCCGGCCAAAAAATTTTAAAATTTTTGAACCTAACTTGAACCTAACTTGAAAAGCGACAGAGAAATAAAATTTGAAAGTAGAAAACAAATGATCATTTAGATGGTGTAGTAGGTGTGCTAACACCGTTAGGACCAGTGTATGCCATACTCGAATAATTCCCACCAAAAGAACCGCTCGACGAACCAGCCAACCGCCGATCACCTTGACTCAGATTTTCCTGCAAACATTTTTTCTTCATCTTTTTCCTCATCTTTTTTCTTTTTTATATTATTGAAAACACTTACTTTTTTCTCATTAATACCAGCAGTTTCCGCATTTTTTAACTTTTCCTTTATTTTATAATTAGCTAATGAATGAAAATATTCACAAATGAAAATACTTATTTTGTTTTAATGTTTTGAATATGATTCGCAAAAAAAAGAGAAAATGAGAACAATTTTTGATTTTCCTGGAAAACTTGCTTTTCTTTTTCTCCAGGAAACCCAAAAAACACAGAAAATCTTCATTTTCAAAGGAAAATTATAGTTGTTTCAATACATGAGTTGATTCAATCGATCATTGCAACATGAAATACCAATTCCCCATTAACAATTGTTTAAATAATGCTCAAATACTTAATTATTGAAAATGACGGACAGAAAATGAGGCAACAACCGTTTTCTAATCGTTCACCCGATTGATGTGCTACTTCGACTATCAATTGAATAACTTGTTACCTATCTACAATAGAAAAAATATGAAATTTATGAAGTGCAGATTACCCAACAAATCACAAGGGAATTTCATATTTCAACAATTCAAAAAAAAATTTTTTTGCTATTAATAAACAAAATAATAACATATAATAACATATAATAAAGACATATAATACATAATAACAAAATAATAAAATCAAATAAAAAATTTTCAACAAAGCAATCGTTGAAAATCCAAGCAACGTTAAATAATAAAATTCATCAACAATGAGAGTAAGAATTGAAAAATTAGCTTACAGAATAGCTTATCATCGCCATTCTCCAATGTCATTTGTGTTTAAAAAATTATTTTAAAAAAATTGTACAGCAAAGCACTCTTAACAGCACTGTTTTTTGTAAAAATCCTAAATTTTTATGGATACTCCATAGGGGAAAATTTGTTCTTCTTTTATTTTTATTTGTTCTTCAAAAATCTTTTTAATTAATCAATTACTAAAAAATTAATTACAAAATTAATTACTAATTACTAAAAAAATAAGCGAGATTCTCAACTTACATATTTGCTAAAATTCGTTTAGAATATATAAAATAAATCCAATTAATTGATCTCATTAAAGAAAAATAAAAAAATTATGAATAATAAAGAAGATATGAACAAATGAGAAAAAATAAAATCACCAATAATTATAATACTATTAATGAAAACTAAAGTCTAATCGAGTTTAGCCATTCTTGTTATTCAAGAAATTAATGAATTCCCAAGAATTCATCCTCATTCATTCACCATTGCCACTAAAACTTGCAAATAATTCAAGAAGACCAAAAATTGGACAGAGGTCACTTTGAAGCATACTTTTTAAGTATTTTTTATTTCAATATAAAGAATAACTGAAAAATGACAGTTCACCTAATTCCTAAAAATCCCAGAAGAAATAATCCATTAAGCGCCACAAATTTTTGTCTGATTTAAACTTCGATAAGCAATCTATAGCAAAAAAAAGAAATTTTATGGATTCCCAATAATTTGTTTTGAACTTCAAAATTCTAGTTGCATCAAAAAAATCAAATGTTTTTCTTTATTAGAAAATTATTGGAAAGGCGTTCCACAAAAATATTTGAATTGAAAAAATTGAAAATTAATGATTACCATTTCAAAAAAAAAAAAAAAAAATTTGTCCGTTCTCAAGGAACTGTTTTAAATGACAATAATAAAATATCAACTTAAATAAACCAGCCATTGAATTATATTCCAAAGGCCTCCGGCAGTACAATCCCTTCGCTATCAATATTTTCTTTTTTCCATCACGGTAAAATAGAATAAAGAATTGAGATTCATTAAAAAAGGGAAACCAAATGGTGAAAACGTAATTATTTACAAAATAAGAGAAAATTTTTTTTTCAATAACTGACTTATTAGAAAAAATTTGACACGAAGACCTACAAAAAAACATGAAAAATTTAATAAAATTTAAAAAATGTAATAAGATGAAAATCAGGTTTAACATGAAAAATTAATTAATCAATTTTTAGAAAGATTAACAGGATTCAGTAAAATATTAAATAATTAATTATAATTGAATAAAAACCAAAATCTAGATATCTTATTAAGACCCATTGTTTTGGTGCTTCATATTTCAATACAAGAGCAATCCGATCAAACATCATGAAAATTAAAGGATTTAATGAAAAAAAAATATGACAAACCAGGGTTGTGAAATAAATACAAATTTTTTATATTTTAGCTATTTTTTAGACTGTACTTGGCTGACTGCAAGACAAGAAAGGAAAAAAGAATAGTTCACGTAATAGGCGATAATTGACTCAATTTTGAATTTGTGATATTAATATGACTGACCGGACGTGATGAATTCGAATGCTGTAAACAAAAAAGTGAATAAAAATTGGTATAAATAAATAAGTAAATAAACAAAAGTACCAATATTGTCGCGAACTATATTTATTTAGTTAATGCTTTGGTGATAATCTTTGTTTTAAAATTGCTTCTTTGAAGCTCTGAATTCTACGGCATCACACATATTTTTCTGTCATCTATATATACTTACTTTACAAATATTTGTTTTTTACTTTTATCATTTGATCTTTTATCATCTACAGAAAATTATTGTTAACCTTCTCGAGATCTGACAGGTCAGTTCAGAAATATTTTTAAAATAAATTCATTATATTTTTAAATGTTTTGTTATTGGGAAATTATTATCTTCTAATTAGCGTACCCATCCCTTTTTTTATGAATATTAATGAATTGCCATTTTTTAATTTTTGTCTTTATTTTCTTTTTATTTTTTTATTTTTTATTAAGTCTTTGATTGTAATTCTATAATTCTTTATATTAAATGGTTTACTCAAGTTTTAGAATAGTACCTAAAGGTTATTCTAATGAAAATATTGAGGAATCACTTATTATACTTATATTATTGTAAATCAGGCGAATATCAGTTAAAAACCAAATCAGTTCAACTGATTTCATTCTAAATATTTTTTACAGTGGCAAGCTAAAATAATTCATGTTGGAAATTTATGAGCTTTTCCTCAATTTATTTACAATATACAATACAAATATAAATTCATAACATAGCGACTTAAGAAAAATACTCAATATATCACTTCGATTTTTCATAAAATATACCTGTGTGTACTGTTGATACTGAGGATGAAAATTATGGATGGCATCTTGCATAATATCTTTTGGATTCATAGTCTCTTTGAGTGAATGGCTGATACTCTGTAGCGTAACCGGATTTCCATCAATGTTGCTGTTTACTGAAATTAAAATGACAATTTTAGGTGAAAAGTGAAAATATCATACAATCAATCAAAGTGGAATATTTATCTTTATCTTTCTTCTAGCAAATTTTAAAGCAAAAATCCATCAAAACACAATTTTTACGATATATTTTACATATTTTTAAAAATATTTTGAATAAATATTTTAAAAAATAAATAATATATATTAAGATATCTTTATCAGGATGAAAATGCCGAAACCGAATTTCCATTATCAAAGCAATTTGCAATTAAACAGGACTAATAAATCATATATGGCTAACTTCCACTAGTGTCGATATATCCGCTAACGCTAAAGGCAAAACGAAGAGCGATAGCAGCGAAGAACATTTCAATGCAAATGAAAAAATTCTGCCAACCAGCTGCAACTGTTCCTCTCGATATTATTTCATATCCTTTTACATCATACACTGGATCGATCGCCGACGTCAAACCAAGAACAGCAAGTAGGAAACCTTTTCAATACATTTTTTTAAATTTCTTGATTTTAAAACCGACAAAAATATAAATTTATACCAATTTATTTTAGATTAACTTATAAAATAACAATTCTTTCCATATTTCTTCCCAAAACAAATTTCTTGGAAAAAAATGAAAAAACATATTAAAAACCTTGCCAAAACGATAGAAAAATGACCGATTTCACAGTCAGGAATTTCAGAACGGGATTGTATGGAGAGAGAAGATCACGTGTAGCTGTATAAAACAGAAATAATCCGTAAAGTGCTAAGGATATGGACACATTGTAAACAATTGTAATATATAAATAGCCTTGATCACCACTGAAACCATAATTTTCAATTTATTTCCTTATTTAATATCTACCAAGATTACTATTTATTACTGATAGCACCAAATTATTAGTTGCTATATCAAATGCTCCGTTACCATTTATCATTATCATTTATTATAATTTATCATTAATTTTGTTATATTGTTTGTTATTTATATTAGTTAATATTGAATCAATTTAAAGTACAGAAATTTATTAATAAACTGTTGCTAAACAAAAATTTTCAACAGAGAAACTGGTTTTTTTTCGAATATGAAAATTCCTACAAACAAAGATACATAATAAATAGATGAAAATGAATCAAAATTTTGAATGCCTACCTCCAATTTCCATCTTCATATTTACCAATCATCATAAGAAATAATGTCAAACAAGCCATGATTGGTTTAATGATACAGAATTGAAGAGTTGCTTGTTTGCAGAAGCGAAGAAATTCTATGGTATATTGTTTTCCAGTTAAACAACATGTGCATGTAAAATAGTTCGTAGGTCTAAAATTTAACTAACAGTTAGTAGTTAGGTAGTTCAATTTGTGAGATAAATCAACATTAATTCATTTATTGGTGCGGAATTGCTAAAAGAGAAAAAATTTTATGAATTTTATGAAAAATTTTTCAGATAAATAAACCAGCATTAGTGATAAAAGTAAATGGAGGCAAAACCGTGGAAAAAGAGAATATTTTACAGCTGAACACGGTTTCAAATCTTCCTACACAATTTTCGCAATACCCAAATCTCAACTCCCTCTTAATAGTTTACTTTTCTTCTTCTTTCTCCCATTCCTACTCTACTTCTTCGACAGTATCGACCATCGTTCTTTGCAATGTTACACCTTTTAAGAAAAGACTATAGCAAAGAAAATAATATGGAATTTCATGGAGAGTTTTAAAGCACAACTGGATATAAGGAGACTAAAATGGCAGAAAGTAGCACTGCTAAACGATAAATACACAAATACTGAAAAAATTTGGCATAAATAAACTCAATAATTCATAAGTTTTGAATTTAAAGCTTTAATCATAAATAAAATCAAATGGTTTATTTTCGTAGCAAAAAAAGCAAAAAAGTAAGGTGGACTTTGAAGATATTAAGAAGGTATTTGAAGCGTTTTTTTTTAAAAGCAAAAAAGTAAGGTGGACTTTGAAGATATTAAGAAGGTATTTAAAGCGTTTTTTTTTTAAATTATGGCATATTTTTAGGGCTACCAAAGGGTGTAAGTGTGACAGGAAAATAAATTTCAAGAAATTATTTAAGAAGTTATTTATTTATTTATAAAAGCAATAGCGTATTTTTCTGAGCAAGCAAATTGAATATTTCGTTATTCATGTTATATATTATATATTAACTATACATTAAAATGTACGCGTCTGTTATAATTTATTATATGCGATAGGGGCATTATGGTGATAAGAAAAAATAGGAGATGATAGATTAAAAACTAGTGGATGTGCCAAAGAAGAAACAATACAGAGAAAGAAAGAAGAAAGAAAGGAAAAAGATAACAGAAATAGGCAATCGTTTAATCGCTACTTCACAGCTGATGAGGAAATTGACAAGTATCCCTAAAATTTGGATGTGGAAACAGTACCTAATTGGTTTTCCTCGTATTTCGGCCATTATATTACTTTCACCGCCTAGATATTCGTAACACAAACTAAGAAAACTGTAGATCACAAATGCTGAAAAAAATAAATTTAACATAAATAAACTTAATAATCCATGTTTTAAATTTAAAACTTTAATTATAAATAAAATCAAATGGTTTACCTTCGTAGCAATCACGAACAGCATTGAAATATACGTAGACATTATTCGACAAGAACAACAGGCTTAACCATGAATCCAGTGAGTACATTGGTACGATAAATAATATTCGAACAATCCATCGCTGTTCGATGGGACAAGAATACCATCTAAGATGTTGGTAAATCTAAAATTGCGCAAATTTTTAATTAACGATTAAAATTCGAAAAAAATTGCAAACTGAAATAAATAATAAAATATATAATTAGATTAAATAATACGATAAGAAAAAATTAAAATTTCCTTAATCAAAGTAACACTCATATATGAAATAAGAAAAGTTTATAGATCCAATTTCTCAAATTGAAGGCACAAATGTTTAAAATGTTTAAAATATTCAAAAAACATTTGGATAGAAAAAAATATATAAGAAAATGGAATTCTTGAGTTATCTAATATAAATTTATTTTTTTTATGCTTCATAATTATATCAATATATCACTTTGATATTTTAAAAATCCATTTAGGTAGTTTATTCACGTTTTTCAAATTTTTTTCATTTTTTAGCATTTCTCTTTCAAAAATTTTCTTTATCTATTGACAAAATTTTAAAAAAATTTAAAACTGACATGATATGAAGTAATAAACAGAGCTGCCCATGTAAAAAAACCAGAAACAGCACGAGCGAATCTCGTTCTAAGGAAAATATCATCAGTTATCGTAAGATTTGTTGAAGTCAACATAATAACCACACTTGTATTGGAAAAACCGTCCAAAAAATTGTATAATTTGTAATACCTGAAAAAAATAGGAAATATTTCTTGAGCCTGAACATTCTACTGTCACTACCGCATATTTTTGATCTTCTTCCTCAACTTTCATAAAACAGATAATATTGAAATTTAAAACCTGTTCTTAATTTTAATAAAAAATAAATATTGCCAAATTTATTTTTTCGAAGATAATTTTTACTCGAATAATTTATAATTTCCTATCGTTGAAATTGTGTTATTAATTTTGGCGCTTAAAACACAAATCTAGATTTTGGTAGATTTTGATCCGAAACGAAATATTAAGTAAATAAGCTCACCATTTCAGGCAGGCTCGACCCGCTATGAATATTACGATATGAAATTTTGCTAGAGAGCCATATTGGAAGTAAAAGCACAAGAGATACCCCCGCATCACCTACAGCAAGTGGATTTTTTAACAACTGATTTTCTCTTGTCGAAAGCAGAATTCGAACCTGAATGCTCGAGATAATCTGAACAACAATCAACGCGCTATATACCGCCTCCAAATTATATATTTATGTAGAATGAAAGCCGAATTAAAATTTTATGATCTGAATAAATTAAAAACGAAGAAAATTCTGCAAATAAATTTTAAAAAAGATTTGTATATATATATATATATATATTGAAATTATATTGAAATATTCACCAAAATAACTTTATAAACTTGTCTTTTTCCCGCTGGCTTGCCATAAGAATAAGGCATTCCAAGGCTGCTTTTCCCGCTGGCTTGCCATAAGAATAAGGCATTCCAAGGTCGCTGACCATAAGAATAAAGCGGCTCAATTTAATGCCATAATCGAATTTTAATCATATTTTTAATTTTTTTCTATCAATATTAAATAGTTAAAAGATAAATTTAAGGAGAATGAGAAAAGAGTGAGTTATCCATTAAAATAATCGAATTCGTCCGGGCCCACATACGAACATCCATTTGCTTCGTTTCCATCTCGTTGCTCCTTAAAATCGATTCATCTGATGTGATATCCCGTCTAAACGCGGCCATAGCCAGCATGATTACGGTCCATATTCTCATTTTAACAAATTTCGTAATTAGTGCCAGTTAATCCTTCATTGCAATAATTTCCTTAATAATAATATTAATTTCCAAGTTATAATACTTAGTGACGACAAACATGATACTTCTAACCCTCGGTGGTATATGCGACAAGTATGCAATCCGGGCGTAAAATCGGTTCTCAAGGCTTGTAAAACCTGTCAAGAAAAACGTCTCTCTGTACGCCTGGCGAGGAGTTAACCGTAGCAGTGGGACGAACACTTATGGACATTGAAAGCCAAGTGATCATTGTCCATATTCTTTTTAAATGTGGATGTCGTGGGAGATCCGTCTCTTAATCTTTTGAGTGTCGAGTAATTACTAATCTTGACTTGGAGCGGAAGCTATATAGCTATTAGCTATATCATTGTGGTATTTCGGATAACTCAGAGCGAAACTGCATAACGATTGTCTGAAGAGGTCCATTCCGCTTTAGTTGGAACTGGCAAGTGACCGTATAACCTATGCCCGCTTTAAAGGGAAGTTCTCCAATATTTCGGTCATCAGTATATATACTCCAATTTTATCTGTAGATGACCATGATAAAAGATAAGTTGGAAGAGTTGGAAGAGTTCCGTACTAGATAGTCATTACTATCGCGGAGCTGAAACGGGCAATCTTCATGGATCTGACCATGTTATGGTTCGAGCCAAGATCAGCGTAAAACTGAACAACTAGCAGAAAATAGCATCCCCTAAGATCCTTTAACTATCTCAAACTAAAAAATTCAGGGAGAAAATTCGGGATGAGCGCATTTCAAATAGAATTATTGAACTATCTCAATGGTGCAAATATTAATGGGACGGCAAATGAATACTGATGCAAACTAAAGGAATGCCTCCAAAAGCCTCTTCAACGTTAGGGCATATTAGTAGGAATTGTGCTAGTTGGGTATCGCAAGCAACTGTCCAATTGTCTGAAAAAGCACGAATCAAAAGATCTTGACTACCAGATGCTTCGAAGAATTACAATCACAACAGCACGACGGAATCACTATTGGAGCGATATGACCTTGAGAATGGAGATAGCTGCTCTACTGCTCTATTAGGCGATAATAGGAAACTATTCCGTCTTCATAAAGCAACTATAACTCGAGAAATAATCAGTGAAATGGTAATGATGCAGCAATGGCGTGGATGTTAAGACTATAAAAGATCCTCACAAGATGGAAGAAATTTCTTCAGGCCAAAGATAATCATGATGGGCCATCTGTTGCCCCGATATAGCTGATACATTCTTCAAACAATAAGCTTGCAATGCGAGCCATCAATAGAAGACAATAGAAGAAAAATAATCTCAATTATCCTTAAGCTTAAGGCCAATAAGACTTCGGGAGATGGTCCCTAGGCTGAACTCTTTAAATTGTCCATCATACTTCATAACGCATCTTTAACAAAAGTACTCTCTGGTTTGTGAAAAAGAAATATTACCAGATGATTGCAGCAAAGCCATTCTGCCCCCAATTCTCAAAAAAGGTCATAGGAATATACTGCGACAATTATCGAGGAATCAGCCTACTAGACGTCTCAGCGAAGATTTTTGCTTTATATTTTCTCAATAGAGTTATGGAAACACGGTAGGATGGATTAAGCTGGATTCAGCCCAGGGCATGGTTGTACTGACCAGATATTTACATGAGTGTTGAAGAGTGTTTGAAAAAGAAGGGTGTATGGGGAATGGAGAATCCTTTGAAATAATCAGAGCATCGTATCACATATCTTGAATAAGCTGATAATTCTTTTTGCTTACAGTTATGACGAATTGCAAATAATGCTAAACAACGGGTCAGCAACTGCAGCAAGAATCGGAATCAATGCAAATAAAATGAAAATGTTTTCGTCTCATATACAAGATGCTGATAAAATGCCTATTTTTACCAATTCATTGCGGGTTGAATAAGTGCCCGAGTTTAAATATTTTGGATCCACTCTAATCCCCAATGGCGAAGAATGAAATCGTAACCCTGATAACGACAGCTGGAAATTTTTCCGGTTAACGAATCTTTATAGAACTGTCGTGAAATCACCATAAAGACGAAAATCCGAGTCCATATACCTGCAGTTCGCTTGATCTTGCTATATGGTTGCAAAACATGGCCAATGAGAGTGGAAGATATTAAGAATCTATCAGTATTTGACCACTCATAACTAAGATACATTTTATCGACCCGTCGAGCAAATAAAATCTCACATGATCGCATCTACCTTCGTTCAAATACCACTTACATTAACCGTCATGAATCATCGCCTTCGCTGGTTAGGACACGTTCTTCGTCGCCCATCACAAGAGTTGACATATATTTCGTTATTTGCTAAACCCTGTGTTGGGTGGCGTCAAAGGCGAGGTGGTCCAATCATGACCTGGACTGATACGGCCAGGAAAGATTTTGAACATATTGATACACAATATATCGGTTTAGATGATGCAAAAAGGAATGGTTTCTGTCGATATGGCATCAGCTTGGAAACGTTTTACCTTTACAGCTAGTGCCACTTGCCTTACCAGTTATAGTGTTAGAAGAAGAAGAGAATGATAAAACAATAAATAATTATCATGAATAATTGTGTTAATAAATAATTATGAATAACAATAATAAATAATAGTAAGAATAATAATAAGGAAATTTCCTAATTTCTTTTGCAATTAATTTTTCCTTATTTTATATAAACGACAATAATGACAACAAATTGCACCGATCGATTCTCCTTTTTATTCAACATAGATATATACCATGGGAAAGATTCAACAACATATATATATATATATATATATACATATATATAAAATACACAGGCTAACTCCATCAAAAGCCTTCGAAAGACCTAAACAAGGTCTCAGAGCACTAGTCATTAAGGAGATACACTAGAGGAATAGGACCTGCAGTCAATTTACATTGGTGCTATGAATTCTTTTTTTTTTCATATATTCTTCCATTTTTATATAGTTCTTGCTGATGGCTCTACTGTTACCATATTATTGACTGCAATTGAAAGTACACTTTGGATGGTTCTTTAGAGAATAAATCTCTAATGTCTCCTAGTGGTCAGTTCTACGAGCCTTTGTTCAAGGTTTCTGATGGAATGTGACTCTCGTACTTTTCTGGAGTCCGAATTTTATTCCTAATCTTCACACCATTCTCTAATTCTTTCAGCTAACTTTTCTGCATTGCTCTGATCATATTGACCGGTCTTATTTTCCAAGGGCATCATATTATGTGTTACCATCCTAGCATTTAGCATTCTCAGAATTACAATGGCTGCGGTGTATACCAATTCATTGGTTTCTGCTATAGCAGTAGGAATTGTTGCTGTTCTATTTATAACTATATTATCTAGTGTGGTGCACTGCACTGAGCTTCGCAAATCACTCTCGGTGGTTAATTATAGCCAGTTTATGACTTGGCCACATGTCCACTGCTCTGCTATGCAAATGAGATGTTGGAAGGCAACTGCCAGCTTCCCAACTTTGTATGTATGCCTCTTTCCTGTTATTTCAGATCATTTTTTGGTTTGAGATGTAATGCAGAATTAATCTATCTCAAGTTGAGAGTTTTTTTTCTATTTTGGCCATTAAGCGACAAGTCGTTTCTCAGTTAATGTCATTTTCATAAGTTAATTTTTCAAATTTTTAGAAACTCAACACTTACAATTTCTCGTTATGCTCGCCCCATTGGCTGTTAGAAATTTATGCCAGAGAACCACTTAGTGAGAGGCAGAAATGGCTGGTGGATCGCCAGTGCCACTACAAACACTATTTGTCGATTGAATACGATTGAAATTATGAGAATTTCGCACAAGTGTGGGGTCACAAGTTTTCCAAAAAATTTAAATCTTGTTATGTTATACTGAATGGGGCTATAACGCGACTAATAACCGTCCGCGGCAAAAATCAATTCAATCGAAACAATATATTTTTCTTTTTATTTTTCAGGTGCATTTCTTGATTGAGCTTTTTAAACTTATCATTTTGGATTTAAATTTGAATAAAAATTAACCCATAACGATTTTCTTTTCCATGCTTAATGAACATAAAAAACGAAAATACCGAAGAAGAAAAACCACTTAGTAAATGCACTCATTCTCTCTCTCGTACATGCACAAAGTTTATCAGCAATAATAAATCTCCATCTCCTAATCTCATTTTTATAACTTCAAAGTCGATATAAACAAATTCTTTATACAAATTTCTTTACACAACTTCACGTAGATCCTACCATCCAAAATGTAAATTTGCATTAAAGCTTTAAGTAAAAAAATTGGAACAAAAATGCTTAATTGGATAACTTGGAATGTGTATTGTAATGTTCAAATTAAAAAATTTCCTTCCATAATAATTAGTTTGCAAAAAAAAACAAATTACTAATGAGCAAAATTTCAAATAAATATAAGCCTTCGATAAAATATTTTTACAAAATTCCGGACCAATTTTTAAATAAATTAAACAAAAATAATTCACAGTTGAAGGCTTATCATATTTATAATCCAGATTGTATATTATGATTGTATATTATAGTATTGATAGAAATCATACCCACACAAAAAAAAACGAAAATATTATGAATGAATCTCAGGTTTTTTGATCTTTTAAGTTTAATGAACAGTTTGTTCTATGAAAAAATGGTATAAAACTTCAGCATAAACTGGACAAAAGTGGAAAAGGAGTTGCATTACTAGATAACAAATAGAACCATTAAAACCAAGGACAAGAGGCGACATTTATGAATGTGTAAACTAAAGAAACGAGGAATAATAAAAAATTTGAATTTGCAACTGCTTTAAGTAAAAATCGGATAGATAATTTGGATACAAACAAAATGAGCAAGTAAAAAAAATTGCCAAAAAATTTTCTGATAACTATAAGCACAATTTTCGCCTAAATCAGAAAATGATAACTTAATTAAAAAGTTAGTGATTATATCTCAATTAAATAACCTAAATTTTGATTTGATTTATGAATTACAAAAAATAAATTCAATAATATAAATTCTAAATATTTAATGTCCTTAAATATTTTGAATAACATGGTTTTAAGAAAAAATATTCTAAAATATTCAATAACTGAAACCCGACTGAAAAAATTCCTGGACATTAAAAATATTGAGATATTCAGTGAAATACAAACATGAGAAAGACTCAAAAAATATTAAATAACAAAGTACTAAAATGAGATCATGACGGAGAGAAAAATAAACACAATTTTAAAATATTATAAATTGTTACTTCAACAACAAATTTTAGATTGGCGAAGAACAAATTTTTTTCGTTTTCTTGAACTTATGTTTATGATCATCTTTTTCTATAAGGAATGAAAATATTGCATTTTACCGAACCATTTGTAAATCGAACACGAGGTCTAGAAGTACGAATAAGAGAAAAAAATGAATAGCTAATTACCATTAGTATTGAGCATCATATGTCGGTTAGTTATATTATGTAGACGACATTCATTAATAAGTATTTGAAAGTGATGTTCAAGAAGCTGCCGTGACTGCGTATCTTGTGGAGGAACCTGTAATGATAACGCCAAAGATTGGGCATCAAAAGTATCATCAAGGGCTATAAGAGCACCATGCACTCCAGAATCATGCAACTGGGATGCGTATGTGCCAAGACCAATTTCTTCAACCCACCGAGCTACTCGTTCACAAGACCATACCAACACATCTGAAGAAAATTAATATCTTTCCACCACTTAACTTCCTCTGTAATGAACAATTACAACAATCTTTATTAAGAAAATGAGTTATTTGTCTAATTTTAGTTTTTTTTTATTTCTTAACTGTTCAAAAAATTCAACTTAAAAAATTCAAAAAGTTTACCTTTATTAACACTATCACAAGCTTTTCGCCTTTCTTGCAAAACTTTCTTATCATAGTTAAGTTTTTTTAGACAAATAATACCATATTGGAGACTGGCTCTGAAAATATTATTATTATTTTAAAACATTTTCAAATCAAATATATATTTTTGATAAATACCCCAAAAAATTTTTAAAAAATTAGACCTGTGAAAATTATCAACCATTTTCAAATGCGTTCGTAGATCTCTTTTAGAAAGATGTTCGAGCATTCTGGCGTCCAAAAGACATTCCATGAAAGCAGAACGATATTGTCCAAGACCCAATGATGGCAACCATTCATTGCCAATCCACTCATGGTTCATATCGCCAAAAGCCAATGTCGTGCGTGCTGTGCGGGGTGCAGAAGGTGATGTTAACGACACCATTTCCTTCATAAATGTTCAAGATCATGAATAATATCGGCACAAATTTAAAAAAAAAAGTTATTTAAGTTATTTAAGTTATAAGTTAAAAATTTAAAAAAAAAGCATTTACTATTCAAGATTTAAGCGAATTATTTACCTGTATTGCAAGTCTTAATTTTAAACGATGGAGCGGATTACTTATACCAATTTCTCGTTGTATTTCCTGATCAGATAAAGCGCTCATTATAGCACCACTTTTTACATTGGCTCTGCATGCTGCAACATACCAGGCAGGCATGCCAACCCATAATTCCAGCCATGCAACTACAGTAGGTCCATTCCACAAAGCAAATGGAGTACGCGCCTTCATTGCCTAAAAAATTTTCATATTAACCTAAGAAATCCTTGGAATACTTATAAAGGTACCACTAACAAAAATGAATGTAATGAAGAATTTTAATAAAAAGGTTATAAAATTTTTTGGAGATGAAATACAAACTTCTTCCAATAATTCGCATTTTTTCCTCTTTCTCCTATCAAAATCGGATATAATGTGAGGCTGTGATGCCATTCCATTTACCGTGGCTTTTGATGCCAAACCAATGAGTGAACAATCACCTGTCGATGACATTTCGCTATCCGAATATGCTCCTAACATCATGGAATTTTTGATTACCATTAATACAATAAAATATCATGGATATTTTTTGGTGTGAAATATGTTGCATTATAATGAAACCGACTAACTTCGAGCAAAATTTAAAAAATTTGGAAAAATTTGATAGTAAAATATTAAAATAAAAAACCTTGGTCGGACAGACGGAACATTTGATTGTTCTTTCCTTTTTTATTGAAAAATCTACCAAGAGTTTTTAGCCCACTTGTGCTGGTAGAACGCTTCTTTATGCCTTTTCCACTATGATGCACATTAAGGTGATCTTGAGAAGAAGCGATCGAAGAAGCCGGTGATAAGCGATCTTTGCCAGATAAAACAAAATCATCATCCATACGCCCCTTAAAAATATAGCTGCATCGAAGGCAGCTGAAAAATTCATGAAGTATATGACGATGGGTTCCTCATAATTAAAACGATGTTTCAGCATCTTGGAGTGAATATCTGATCAAGCACAATTTAAATCCAGCTTGACGCATCTTACAGCCCCATACCTACCGTAAGTCTATTGAGTAGAAGGGAAAATTTTCGTTAAGATGTCTATATGCTAATTCCGCAATAAGTACTACAGTATATCTTGTCATCTTTCTAAGAGACTAGAAGCAGAATTGCTTTATTCTAGTCACCTTGTATTACTTCTTTTCGCCATACCAGAAAGTATATATCTTGAAGGTGTGTTATGAAGGACGATGGATAACATTTGAAGTATTCACCAAGGAAATCGTTTTCTCCCGGAGTGTTATTAACTTTAAGCTTATGGATAATGGAAACTATTTGCTCTTCTATAGGTGATTTCAGCTGAAAACATATAGATCGAGCAAAATCAATATATCCCATGGCGCATCGTGGGGTTGAGTTTAGTCTCAAAAAATTCTTTCCATCTTATGAGACGATCCTAATAGCCTTAAAAAGGGCCCCACTGATATCCTGTATCATTTCACTGACTCCTCGAGTTATAATTGCCTTGTGAATAAGTTTCCTATTATCACCTATACGAGCCGCCATCTTTATTCTAGGCCATATCACTCCAAAAGCGGTTTCTATTTCACCGTGCTACTGTCGTTATAATTCTTCGAAGCATCCGATTATCAGGATCTCCTGATGCTTTGACAGCCTTCTCAAAGAGCTATTGCTTCTGATACTCAGCTAGCGCATTTCCTACTAGTATGGAATTGGCTTTCGAAGATGTGTTTAATTAAGATTAGTATTCTTCCATTGTTCCAGAGATGTCAAGATTATGTAAAATAAAATAAAGACAAGCTATCATTTCTTGAATTTATTCCTTCCCGAAATTTATTAATTATTACTGAAAATTAATTGGCTGAATACGTGTAATTTACAAAAACTTGGCAACTACCAGGTTTGATATTAACCAATTTTTGGAAATAAAAAAATAAAATGAAAAGAAAATTCTCGAATATTGTGAAAAATATTAATTCAGCTTTTAAGTCTTGAAATTCCACATATAAACGAAGTTTCGTTTTTTGATCAAATACTTGCCTGTGATGACTGTGAGTAATCCAATTTCATAGCTCTTCGTGACATATTGTAATTTGTATCAATATGAGCATCGTCAACATACTATAAATATAAATATTAACTTCAAACGGTATTTAACAAAATATTTTTTTTAAAAAAAAAGGGAAAACGAAGGCGTTTAATTTATTTAATCATTTATTTAATCCGTAGGACTAACTGAATTATAATTATCAATTGGCTGATTTGGTACAAGGCAAGATGATGAATCAGCTGGCATCTGAAATATCAATTCCACTATTAAAGAAGTTAGAGGAATATATAATAGAGGATAGGACAATATATGATAAAAGAATGCAGAAAGAAAGAAAAAAATTCAAACATAAAAATAAAAATACTACCGTATTATATTTTCCGCCAAGAAAATCATGTTGAGGTGAATTTCGGGGTGTTGAACGGGTAGACAGATTGCCCAAATTTGAATCATCAAGGGAATATACAGCCGTATTAGCACCAGGAAAATGCATATCCCCTAGCCGAGCACGATTCTCCAATTGTTCAGCGATTCTTTCTGCATGAGATTTCTCTTGCTGAATTAATCGAATTTCGGAATTTATTGCATCCAATCTGAAAGAATTCTCAAATCAGACCTTATAATCACAACATAAAAATTTTTTAAAAATGGACTATCTGAATTTTAAACCAGAAAAAACTATTTTCAAATAAAAATACCGCTCCTGCAGCATGCTTGCCAACGTATGAGCATTGGTAGTGGAATTACTTTGATTGGTTTGAACGCTACTGATTATTAGATCTTCTGTCCCCTGAGAAGGTAGAGCACTGCGCATTTGTTGTGAAGCAGCCATATCCATCATGGATGAAGAATTTGAGAAAGCCTAAAAAAAACTTCCGCATCACAAACATGAGAAACAGGGATGGATGAAGAATTTGAGAAAGCCTAAAAAAACTTCCGCATCACAAACATGAAAAAGATTATTTTATCAAAAATTATTTTTAAAAATATCAGGAAATAAAATTAATAGAAAATCAATAATCAATAAAATCAATAATCAATAATGATAATAAAAAAAAGCAAGCGAAAATATGTATAAACACACAGAAGCAAAAAAATGAAATAACATGAAATCGTGGTTTTAAAAGAACCTGTTGCACATTTGCAATAACATGAGCTTGTTGCAATCGGTCCCACTCATGTTCGTTGAGTGTTTGCACCTTGGAAGGGTCATCCTGCAATGCTTGAAGTCGACCTTTATGTATCCGTCGAACACCTAATGCCGTGTATGGAGCAACTACTGACTGGGAAGTTGGCGCTGCCATCCCTGTTTCTAGAACGGGAGTAATCGGAGTCACCAGTGAACCACTGTGGAGCCTAAAAATCCCATATTCCTTAAAATAAATTTTTTGAATTTCATAAGTCATACAATACTTTTGAAAAAATAGGATGAAAGATGGAATACCGAAATGATCGAGAGAATTCACTTCGATAGAAAACATTAAATTTTATTTTTATTTGAAAAATGAATGATGATGAAAAATGGCTTTCACCTAGAATGAAATTGCGCTGTTCGAGCTGAATATAACTGATTTCGTAATGCATCAACTTCCTGGCGCAAATTCTCGTTGTCTCGTGAAAGACGATCTTTTATACGTTCAGCCTAACAAAATATATTAAAGAAGCCTAACTGGATAATAAAATTCCTATTATCAATAAGAAAAAGGAGGAGACGAAGAAGATAGATAAAAAAATTTAATGTCCACAAAGATTTCAGTGAGAATCCATTAATTCATCATCTATTTATAATATTTTAGCTATTTATTTAGCTATTTCAGCTGGTTTTATTATTCAGCAGATTAATTCACCTGATCGTAAATTTTCTTGGTGTGTTCCAATTGCTGCGTCAAACGATTCTTCTCATCCAGTGCTTGCATTCGTTCTTTTAAATGCAATTGTAATCGGTCGTTTGATTCAGAAAGTAATTTATCAACTGTTGAGGACAAACGTTGATTATGCTCTTCATTCATTCTTTCGCGCTGTAGCGCGCGCTCCAATTCGGCGGAACGTTCCTCTACTTGTTGTTCCAATCTTTGCACTTGTTCTTCGGCAGAAACTTGTTTCTAAAATAATTTAGTAAAATTATACTGATTTAGCAAATTGATTGAAAAAATATTGCTCATAAAATACAATTAAAAAAAGTCCAGTAGATAAAACACAAAAAATTTTCGTTAAGACAAAGACAACAGCATTAAATAATTTAGAAAAATCCAGTTAAAAGGTTTTTTAAAAAAAATCAAATTCTTCACCAAATATATTTAGAAAATAAACCTGTTCTGCGGCACTCAATGCTTCCATACGTTGTTGAAGCTCTGCTTCAACTGATGGCAATGATTCGGCCTTTTTTAAACTTTGCGCAAGTTGTTTCTCGGCCAATTCTAATCTTTCTTGCAAACTTCGCATTTTCTCTTCATTTAAGCGTATAGCAGCATCTTTATTGGCTAACTAAAAAAAAAGTAATTCGAAAACAAAAAAATAAAAAGATCAAAAAATACCTGATGCTCAAGCTCATCGTTAAAGTCTCTGAGGCAAGTGGATTCCCGTTGCGCTGAAAGGAAACGATTTTCAAGCGTCGATATTTTTGCTTCCTGATCTCGCTGTTGAGCTTCCATCTATATCAACTATGTATAATGAAAATAAGATATATGGAACAATATTAACAATTCAGACCGCTTAAATCAAACAATTTTTGAAAATTTTTGAAACAAAATTTTGAAAAATAGTTAAAACAAATGAACAAAAAGTATGGAACATAGCTAAAAAACAATTTTTAATGCAAAGCCAAATTTTATCAAGTAAATATTCACTTCATGCAAATGATTTTGCAATTTGGTTGATTGTTCTTGAGCAACACGAACATCTTTCTGAGCAGCTGACAACTGATTTTCCAATTCGGCATTTCTGAGTAAATACTTCGATTCAAATAAATAAATCAATATATCAAAATCAAAATGAAAGCATGTTTTATGCAAGTACCTTGACCCAAAATCGTTGCATTGTTTTACACTATTTGATAAATCTTGTTTAAGACGATCACAAGCTTCTTGCAATTCAACAAGCCGAGCAGCAGATTCTATGGAAACAAGGCTACCATTGGATTGTTTTTTACTAGCGCCGTTCATTTTATTTACCTAAAAATCAAAAATTCTGCAAGGAATAAATAAGAACAGATAACAGACAAATAATAAATATTGAAAACCCAAAAATTTTTCATTTTTCAAGCTAAAAAATTGATATTATTATATTACGAAATTGAAATGAAATATCGCTATATCTTTACTATAAAATTTTCCAAAAAACACCTGCTGAGCGGCTTCTTCTAATTCAGCAGACAATTTAGCCATTTTCGATTTCAAAGTTGAATTTTCATCTCCTTTGACTTTTAATTCTTCTTCTAAATCGGCAACGCGTTCCATAGCCACTCTTAAACGTTCTCGAACCTAGAAAAAATAATTAAAATTTTAATAAATAATTAAAAATTTATATTTAGAAATATTTTGGAAAATTTTTAAAAAAATATTCAAAAAAATAACTAAATTTTAACTGAAAATCTTTTACTTTTTCATCAAGTGCTTTATGATGTTCAAAGAGAGATTTTAATGCTTTCAGCACTTCGACTTCGGATGAAACACCAGCTGGACTTTGCGCCTGACGTTTCATAACAGTCATTCGAAGCGATCTTTCATGCCGTGAAACTAGACATTCAAGATGTTCCAACAACAAACGTGTGTTGTTTCTTTCAGCTTTCAATTCAACAATTTCTTCATCCTTTTCCAATAACTGTTCACGCAATTGAGCCAACTCTCTGGTTAATGTTTGCAGTTCCTTAAAATTTAATTTTAAAAGTAAACATTATTATATCTTGAAAAATCAATTAAATAAAACATTTATTTATTCCTAAGACTCAAATCTTTGCATTCTGGTTTGACTGGGTTCACAAAATAGTTGCAAGCTTTCGACTTCAGACAGAGTTACCTGTGTATAGTGCAAAAGGCCCTTTAGCATTACTTGACATATTTCTCACATTTCATTTAAAAAATTTTTTCTGTCAAAACATACTGTTGGTAAATGCTGCGTATGTAAATCAAACTGCCTTCGAAAACTTTCCTTATCACGTTCAGCATCTTTTAAATGTTGAGAAAGATCATCGATTCTCCGCTGAGCTTCTTGTAATTGTTCTAATAGCTTATCTCTTTCATCGAGCATGTTCATCATCAATTGTTCTATCCTATTCTTCTCACCACCCATCTCATTATTGTCATTAGGACACTGAAATTTCCATCATACAACAAAAAATTTTTAATTTTTCCATTTCATTTTTATTAAGCACCCACACGTGTTCAGTAAATTAATTTAAAATTAATGAAAGAAAATTTGGACTATTGAATTATAGAAATTCCATGTTTTAAATCGATGCAAACCGATAAAAGAAAGAAACCTGAGATGATACAACGCCATCCTCTGAAATAGTTGGCATAACATCACACATCATTGCTCCATTCCAACTCATTGTAACAAACTTCAGTAAAGTTTCCAAAAGGCCATTTTTAAAAAGAATAAACAATAATAAAATTAAAGAAGACTTTAGATAAATTTAATAGTTACAATCAATTATTGCATAGAATATACAGGTAATTCGCTTGAGGCGAAGTGAAACTTCTGCTGAATTATTCAAATATTTACCGAAATTTCGCCAATAAGAATAAGAATGAAAAATGACCTGAAAATGAACTTGAAATTTGAAAAAAAATTTAAGAAACTTCAAATGCGAGATATTTCTGATAATTTATAAAAAAAAAAACTTATAAATTCAGCAATAAATGGATAAAAATAAGAATAAATTTGAGAGAAATCTGAGAGAGATATGAAAAAATAAAAATGATATAACCGCTAGTGTTCGCTTTTAATAATAAAGGTAAATTTCTTTTCGTTTATAATTGCCACATATTGTTAAATTCAACGATATTTTAAAGAGAGTATATAAGCGCTCGTATTCGCTATTAATATCAATAAATCTACTTAATCAGAAATCTACTTATTTAAATAATCTAATGAAATTTTGCTTGAACCAAAAAATTAGAAACTAAAAGCAAGTTTTTTTCATTATCTATATGAACATACTTCGTACTGATTAATAAAAACGAAAACATCTTCTAATTCTCTAATACATTTAAAACTTTCGGCTGTTTTTTATTTTACAAAATTTAAAAGTTAAAAATTGAATATTAAATTATTATGAAATTATTATGACATCTAATCACTCATATTTGTTATTTCTAAATAAAACATTCTCATTTTTCAACTTCTTGAACTGATTTTAAATTCTCGCTTTTCGAAAAAATTCATCTATTTCTTAATTTTAATTCTTTTTCCTTTTAGTCTTAGATTTTCTTCTGAGTTTATCCTAGTTTTAAGGTACTTTTAGTTTCCATTATGCAGAAAATTTTCATTTAAATTAATATAAAAATGTTTTTAATTTTTTTGCTGAAAATGAACAACTTTTTGCGCTTAAATTCCACGGCAATATGAATCAATTTTTTTTTTTTTATAATCGTCATACACTGTTAAAATCAAAGAATCTGAAAGAATTAAATACTTTTGAGCCGCTGAAGAAAAGAAAAAGAGAAAAGCGACTAAAAATATTCCAAAAATCTTGTGCGAAAAGCTTAACTTCCAACCTAAAAACGGCCAAAAATGAATCCCCCTCCCCCACCCCCTCGCCTCTCCTCAATTTAACAATTAAAGGAAGGAACGAGCGCGACGCTGCCAATTCGCAAGGCGATCCATTGTTTTAAACTGAACATCGATCAGATATTGTAAAATTCAAAATTCTTAATTTCCATATATAACAGCACTATAATAATTTTTCGATTCTCCCTACGTAATATCACAAAGGTTCGTGAGTTCTAACCGCAAATTTTAGAAGATTTAATAAATTCTTCTATCCATGAATTTTGATTAAGTGCATATAATAGTATAAAATAAATATAAATATAAATAGCCTAAGATTCAAATAATGACTTAAAAGTTACGATGGATCCTAGTGGATCCGTACACGCCAATTTAACGACCGTTGATTTGTCTTATTTGAAATGCTTTGAGCATTTTCTTGGAAAGTACGGATTGATAAAATCTTTGATAAAATCTCGATCTTCAATCCTTCTAGCCTGTGCATAGACATAGACACGTCTGGTGAAGGCTATGGTTTTTTTCAGCCTCCGGTGAAAAGTTTAGATTTATTTCACTTTTGGAAAAAATAGCAAATATCACTTTTTTAATTTTTTTGCTTAATTTTATTCATAGCTTTAGTTTATTTATTAGTCTCAAACCCTGTTCCCCTTCCTCAAAATCCGCTAAATTGTATTTTAGTATTATCCCTCCGAACTCTGATACACCATTTTAATATTCTCGAGAAGCTACGGTTCAACACTCTCTATATTTCCTGCTACACTCCTCACCGCTAGCCCCAACAATTCTGTCTTTTGCAATTTCTGACTATAACAAAGATGCACCGAGAGAGAGAGAGAGAGGGCACCACTTTAAAGAAGATTAAGGTAACAAAATGAGGTGGCTGGTAGATGTATGGGCTTGGGAGGGTTAGAATAGTGGAAATGAGCATAAAATACACCAGTATGCTCAAAGAAGGTAGGAGAATTAAGATTCAACAATGCGGGTCAAGATTTCGCGACCAATATTAGAGAATTTTAGTGAATATAATAGTTGATGAGCACAACGGGATTTAACAGCATTTCGAAGTATCACAAGTTAATATAATTAAAGAAAAATTTTAAGATACTGCCAGGTTTTTGCAAAGAGATGCAGAATTTGATGGAAAATTGGGGGGTTGTGTCGTAAAAGGTTCTAAATAAGCCGTCTGCAATCTAGCACTGTTTAAGGCATAACTGGACTGGAATTGGGCGCTAACATAAAACGAATTTCGTAGGACTGGAGATTTTCGTAACATAGCTGCCGACAAAGTTCATGATGCGATTTGACAAAGTATTAAGGGTGACGGGAGAGATGACGGAGTGCCGCCGAATGGCTAACGGACCCATAAATTAGGGCGGATCATCCGCAGTGCACTTGCAAAATACCCCAGGTAAAATCTGTAAGAATTTGAGAGTAACGAGAGTACAAATATATAAGAGAAAATATATATGAGAAATGGAGAGTACCCAATTATAGATATAGCGAAGACATGTGGAGAAAGTGGAAAATGAAGAAAGGAAGAAATCCTTTTCCTCCGCTCGTCCGAAATCCTCTATAAAATCCTGAGATGCCGCTTTCATTCGGGATTCGTGGTGGGGGTGAGGGGAGGGAGAGGGGTGGTGGAGGTGAGGAAAAGGGCAAAGGAATTGGGGAATTGGAAATTGGAAGGAATTGGAAATGTCAGGATAGGTTCTGATGTTCGGGTATGTTGTCCGTTGTTGCGTGTTCACTATGTTTCCTTTCCTTGCAGAGTTGTTATTCGGGTATATTTGCCGCATTAACTCATTCATGAATCTGCTAATAGTTATGTAGGTTTTCTGTGTTTTTTCTATATCATTTGTAAATAATGGTTTAATTATAAGTTTGAGATCCTTCTGTTTTTGTCAAACGATTCGTAGTGAAAAATTCAAAAGGGAACGTCTGGTTGCAGTATTCGAAGAGTTGTCGAAAGTTCGATTCCGCGTCGCAGGCAGAATATAATTCGAATTCGAATTGCGGAGGAAGTGAATCTCCAAAATTGACGCTGAAAAAATTTACCTATTGGAAGTTCGACAATCTCATCTCCTTTACGTACTCGGGATATGTATGGAGTGGGATATTTCTGATTTAGGAGGTGCAACAGGATTGTGAAGGATTTTCACATTATTTAGCAAAAGTAGACGCGTTTTTTCAGGATACTGATTATTATAGCGATTTATCATATAGTAGCAATTCTCTTCCATTTTTGAAATGGCGTAATCTTATTTTGGATTTGAATGGATTGGATTAAAATGAAGTGAAAAGTGAGTTGCGCTTCTTTATGCTGAGTATTTAAGCATATAAAAAAATTTCTTTACAAAAAAATTTTCGAACTTTCCAAAAAAAAACATGGAACAATAGTATTAAAGATTAATATTTCGAAATAATACACAAAATCCAGTATTTGTATCACATTTTGTATTGCCTGGGCATTCAATATTTGAACACAAATTTGCAAATTCATAATTAAATTGACGAAATTTGGCACATTTTCCAGTATTCCCGTCGCATGATAATCCTTGAGAACAAATCACATTTTTACACAAATTATTCGCAGTAACCATTAAAATAGTGATCTAAACCAGAAAAATTATTGTCTCCATGGTAATAACAAATATGATAAGGTTTTTTCGGTATTTTGCCAAAAATAAAATCTGAACTATGGAAGCGATTAACAAAAAACTTGGTTTCCTTTTAAATAGAAAAATTCTTTGGATTTTATTGAATTCGAAAACCATTGATAGACGTATAAAGTATTATCGGCGTTTACTTTTACTTCAAAGCAGTTTACTCCAGGCAGAGCAATAGGAAATAATGCTGATGCTTAAAGTTGTGGTTGGTTGAATTTTTGCCATAATATTGTAGACAAGCAACCCTCTTCTTATTCTAACAGCTCTCACCACCATGAGTTGGTTCTACTGGCTACAAGGGTAAAACTAAGTTGTTCGTTGCGACGCCATTGTCAACAGTGATCATTCCTTTTTCCATCGTCTAAGTCCATATTTCGCTGGTCCGCGTATACGTTCAAAATTTTTCCTGAGTGTGTCAGTCCAGATCATTGGATTGGCCCTCCTCGCTCTTGATATCATCCATCATAGGACTTAGCAAGTAGGGAAATATGTTTCTGTGAGCTCCTGTGGTAGCGACGAAAAACATTTAGCGGAAGCGATGCATATGATATTAATGTTAATTACCATATGATGTTAATGTAGGCCATATCTGAGCAAAGATGGGTATAATTATAAGATTTTATCAGCTCGACGGGCTTATTCGAATTTATTCGTCCCTAAAATCTATCTTAAAGATGAATAGTCAAAGGCCTCCACTTTCATTGGTCATATCTCCTAGTCATATAGCAAGATCGAATGAATCGTGGCTATATAGATGGAGACTTTCGTTTTTATGGTGACGGCTGAATAAAGATTTCGTCCAAGATTTCGGAAGAATGCATTTCTAGCAATCGTTTTCATGGGTGTAATTTAATTTTTTGCCTGGCCATTTTGGATTAAAGCGGAACTTGTCTGATATATCCTCAATCGGCAATGAATTTATAAAAATATATTTCATCAGCTTCTTGTATGGCGATTTTCTTTTTATTTAGATAATTGTTTAGTATTGTTTGCATTCCATCATAATTGTCAGCAAAAAGGATTACATTATTCTGTGATATGATAGTCTGAATTGATTTGTACACCTCTTGAGTGCTGACACGTGATGTCCATTATCCAGTCTATCCAATCTACCGTACAATTGAACGTTGGTAAAAGGCGCAGCCTTGATGCCAATTATTTCGAGTTATTTTGTCAATACACAGGTATGTGCCGATACACGTCGACAAAATACCTTTATGAGTCGAACGATCTGGAACACGTCACATTCCATCATCATCATCCAAAGTTTATCATTTGAAGCGAATTCAGCTATAAAATCGATTTAAAAAATGACAGTTGGTTGCTAACTTTTAAAGCAATCTTCTAACATCCTTTTTAGCGTTAATATCTTGTTAGCACAGTCATGATCTGAATCCATCTATCTCCTACTGCTATATCTTTATTTAGTAGGAATGTAGCGAAAATTTTCCCAGAAAGTCTAATAGGCTGACTCTTCGATAATTATCACCGTATATTTTGTCGCCTTTCTTGGGAATTAGGAAAAATTGCTTTACTATAATATTATTTCCGGTATTTTCTTTTTTCCATATAGGAGAATTCATTTATTGAAGATGTGTTATGACGATTAACAACATTTGAAGGTTTCAGGCCATCTCTGGGAGTTTTATTGGCCTCAGACTCCTGGATAATAGAGGTTATTTCCCGTTTTTGCCAGTGGTTTTCCAGTTGCAAACATATGACATATACGAGCGAATCAGCCATGTCCAAGTCAACAAATGAGATGTATCGTGGTTATGTTTGGTTTCAAAGAATTCTTTTCATCTCATGATACATTCTTAATGAACTTAACATACGGGAATTCAGCCCACTTTACTTTAATAACACCTTACTATCGCGCTTCATTTTACTGACTGTTCCTCGATTTATAGTTGCTTTATGAAGAAGGCGGAATAGTTTCCGCCTAATCTAGCAGCCATCTGCATTTTCAAGGCTATATCGTTTCAGTAACGTTTTACTGACTATTCGCTGACACTGGGTGACTACTATTTACAATTTCTGTTTATGATTTTTTATAACGATTTCTATTTCCGTGCTGCTATCTTGTATTTCGTCAAAATATCAAATAACTAGGATCTCCTGATATTGTCTCATCAACGGACGGGAATTCAGCCCGTACCACTTACCTTAATCGATTTAATATATCACTACAGACCATCTCACAAAACCCATTTTTTAAAAATGTAATTTAAAATTTTTTACGAATAATATAGATTTAAAAGTCATTCAGAATACAAAATAAAATGGATAGATCTGGTGAATTTTTAATGCAAAGAATATAAAAAAAGTAACGAACCATGTGGAATGGTAACAATATTGATAACATCATATGAAATATGAAAGATATTGGATAAATATTATACATAAAATTCTGGAAAAAACAGGTTTTATTCACTTCAAACGCCATTTGTTTATTCATCAATTTAGTTTGTTTGCTTTTGTTCATTTTTTAAATTTTTTTCAGCTATAATTTGTAATTTGTTGATTAATAAATGAATGGTTAACTAATAATTAAATAAAGCTGAAGATTATATCTGTTTTAAGATATCCGCTAAAAATTTCAGTTTTTTTGAACCTCATTAAGCCGACCGTTAATCCCCTAATTCACTGATACTGACTATTTGAACAGAACCTTTAGGGAGGCATGAACAATTAAATCTCCTGAACTAAATGAATTTAACTTTTAATGATAACGCTTATTCTATAAAGAGAAATGAAAATCTGATCCCTTGACCTCTCTTAAAATTTCTTTAACGTCAATTAATTAAGAGTATAAAAATAAAAATCTAAGCAAAAACATTAAGAATGTAAAGAGATTTCAGTTTAATAACAAATTTTTTTTTATGCTTTAGTATTTGTCACTTTTCATTGACTACACACACTCAATTTTAGTTGAGCTATACCATTAACCATTAAGATGAGATCCTATTTGCCGGAGACTCGCATGAGGAAAGAAATATAAATGTCCTAATTGCACGGTTTTCACAGGTTTGCCTAGTGTAGTGTCAGCACATTTTCATTCATTCGCCCATACGTTTGCAATCGCGAACCGCCAATAGAAGAGGAAATAATCTCTGCAATCTAAGAGCTTAAAGCCAACAAAACTCTTGGAAAAGATGGCCCTCAGGCCGAATTCTTCGAATATTGTCCATAATCATTCACACAACAAATGAATTCTCTGGTATGGCAAAAGGAAATAATACCAGAAGATTGGAGCAAAACAATTTTGCTTCCAATTCCTATGAAAAGTGACAGGATATACCTGCGACAATTTGCGGGAAATCAGAAACATCAGAAACCTATTAGATATCTCCAGAAAAATTTTCGTTTTTCTTCAACTGAATAGATTCATAGCAACACAAGATAGCAGAAATATTGATTTAGTACTTATTAATAAAATTTATTCTTCACCTCAAATTCAAACTTGGTAAACCTCAGTGGTATACCATAAAGAAGAAACAATTATTCAATATAAATTAAAGATTGAAAAGATTAAAAAGATAATTATCTCAAAAACAAATAAATTAATAAATAATGTAAAAAATATTAAATAACAAAAATATTGAAATATTGGGACTCAACCGCTCAGGTCCATTGATGGCTTCATAATAAAAAAAGGAGAACAAGTTTCTAGAAAAGAATATATAACTTCTCTAAATTAGTCTTAATGTTTTATTGATATATGAAAATGGAATAAGCAAAATATTAATTAAATTAATGAAAGTTTTTTTTTATAGATTAGGGCCACCAGTTTACAATAATAAATAATAAATTTAAAAAAAATATCGCATTTCTGACAGGGCTTATTACGTTTATTCCTTATTATTATAATATGCTATTATTGATGATTATATATCCTCCTTTTATGAATCTATAATGACTAAAATTTGTTTCGTTAATGGAGATATTTCTCTCTTAAATCTATATCGTCCACCAGACTATGGAGGGTGATCTTAATTTGGCAAATATAGGCTGAGAAAATAATTATATAAAAAACAACAGGGAATTTGAAAAAGATTTTGTAAACTTTTGTATAACACTGGCTTATAAGATTACCACCAAGCATAACAATACATTATATGTTTAGAGAAGTCTTGCAATTTCGATCATAAATTGGCAAGACAGAAATTACAAAAAAATAGCTAAAACACTCTGAAATTTCGTCATTTTAATATTTCGTCATTTTAATCACATAAATAAAACGCTAAATTATATAAAAATTATTCATTTTAATAACTCGAAAATTACAAAAGTAAAATTCGCTTTTCCATGATTAAAGTTATTTTCCTTCATTCATCGAAGTGCTTAAACAATCGAAATTGTAAATGAACAGATTCGCATTCGCAACTTATGGAAGATATGTTCCTTTTACTATTTTTCCGTTCAATCTCCAAATGTCTTCATTAGCATTGTCTTATTTAAATGAAAGCAAAAAATTGCAGAATTGATAAAATTTTTTACAATATTTTTATGAATTCAAAGATAATTTTGCTGATTTAATGATAATAGTAATTAAAATGGAAAAAAGAATAAATAAAAGAAAAAATTCACGAAAATTAAGCTTATTAAAATAAAAGGTTCACGTTTAAAGCAGTATTTGAAAAAATAAATTATTCTGATCAAAATCGGCTTAAATTTACAATTATGGATGATTGATTGATAAATGCGAAAAGTGAAAAATTTAAATTACTTTCGTCTCAAAATTAAATATTTCGTGAAGAAAAGAAAAAAATATGATTTGAAAAAATAAAAATGAATCTTTTCACTGATATTTTCATTCTTTCTTCCTTTTTATGCGTAGAAAAAATTGGAAATTTTTCCTGAAATGACTGTCTTTATTTATTCTTTATTCATTCTTTTATTTACATTTTGCTTTAAATTTTTTAATTTTTAGATTTTTTAAAGATTCATTTCAACAGTTTTAAAAATTCCTTTCTTTTTCCTATATAATTCTGTTTAATAAAACATTTCGTAAAAAACATTTCTTTCATTTTTGAAAATTTTGATAATTTTTACGCAAAATTTATTGTTTCGTTTGATTATAATTTTCTTGATGAAAATCTCAATTTCGACCTTCACTGTAGAACCATAATAAAGAGATCTTCAAAAATATTAAATTTTACTTTTCGTTCGTTTAAGAGCAAAACTGAAAGTTTTCTTATAAAAAAGCGCAAAAAATTTCAAATTTCTTAAGTAGTTTTTTAAGTGGCTAAATATTTTCAGAAAAGCATTTTTTTTCATCATTTGCATCATTTTATTGAATTTATTGATAATTTAGGATGTTCAACGAAATAATAATAGAATTATTTAGACAGTTACAAACACAAGTCCAAACATAATTAGTCCAAATATTTGACCAAGTATAAATTTCATTTTATCGTTTCAAGTTCATCTGAGATGCCAACCATTTAATATCACTTTTTAGCTGAAATTATTTGAGATTTCAAGAGAAAAAGCAATATGAGTATGAGATGAATTGCTATTAATGATATTTTTCTTGTGTCTTTTTCTCTTATTGAATTCATTTGAATAAGATTGGGGAGATGGTGCTCTTGTAAACTAAATTATTTTATTAATTCGTAATAACTACATGGCCATACGCCATTCGGAATTTCTATCTTTATACTATATGTCTATCAATGTAATGAATAGAAATGCAAGATAAGGCCACTATCTATATCATATTTTTCAAGACAGTGAAAAACTGCTAAAATTCTAATGAGTTTAATTCCATCAAATTCGCAAACCTACCAGTTTTAAAAATAAATATCATTTATCATTAGAAAAGGTTTATGTCACAAAAATATTTAGGTGGCTGGTTAGCGCATACCAATTATCAGGAGCATTACCCCACTGGCCGTTATGGTCCAGATGATAATGCGAATTACCGCAGAAGCACTCCGTAATGCAAAGAAAAACCAGAAACTTTTCGCAGATGAAAACGAAACCTTCATTAAAATGAGAAATTTCAACAAATTTTTAAAAAACTGAGTTAAATTTTCAAACACAAACTTGCTGTACTTCAACCGTAATCTTATTATTAAGAAAATCTTTCGCTGTGACAACCGATTCGGCAAGTTTTCTAACAGCAATTTTCATATTTTCGTCGATCTTCAATTTTAAGAAGTTTTTAACCATTAAATTACCTCATTCACTTATTTTATTGATTTTATTTGAAATTAATAGTCTCGATATTTACACAATTTTAATTTAATCACTTTAATGTTTAGCTAATCAAGATTTTGAGAAAAATTTTCCAATTTTTGTAAATAATTTTTATAAATTTTTATAAATGTGATTAAAAAAATATACGCCAATTTTGTTCTCAGTTTTTTGCAATCCCAAATCAGTTTCGATCTTCTCTTGAAGCTTCTTTATGGCAAAAAGTCTAAAACATTTTAATGCTAGGATTATAGGATTATAACTGAACTACAGGTTTTTAAAGACGTTTTCCATGAACCCACTGAACGATAAACGCAAAAGCTATTTTTAAGTTCGCATTCTTTGTCTTTTGTCTTTTGGCTTTGGCTCTTGTAAGATCTTCAAACATTTCTTGAGTCGTCAAAGTTTATTTTTAATTAATTCCATTGGTCCTTTAGTGATTCTTGCCCAGCTATTGATTGTTTGACCTGATATTGTTTGATTTAACTATTTATTGATTTGTTAAACTGTTCGTATTATCTTGAATTATTGAATTATGAATTATTAAATTGATAGTTTTTTTCTTTTTATTATAATTTATTTTTAATTAACGGACCTCAGTAGCTTATACAATTTCGCTGTTCAATGACTCTCTTTTTGCAACAATTATTTACGAAAACTTCTCACTTTGTTAGTCAATTTTTTGTCGGGAAAAAATTATAAAAATAAAAATTCTATCAAATTTCATCTTTATAAAAGTTTACCTTTCTTCTTCTTCTCGATCGATTCTTGTGTTTAATTGATGCTTCACATTATCGGTTTTAGCAGATAATTCATTTAACTATAATTAAAATAATTTAATATAATATCAATAATAATTTAATATAATATCAATAATATCTGCAATAAATAAATTTATGATCATTGAAATTTTGCAAAATTTAAAAATTTTTAAAATTTGAAAAGTATTTTTGAAATTTGCATATCATTATAAAAAATCCGAGATAACAAAGATTACCATGGTTTCCATGGTTAAAAAAATAAAACTAAACTGAAGGGAAAAAATTTTACATCATGTGGTATCTGTTTTTCTACTCTGTCTCTCAACATTTGCTGTGCTTTATTCATTTCATTGTGTATAGATTGCAGTTTATGAAGATGGTTGGTAATTCCTTCCATCCCATCCATATTTATTGCTAAGATTTCAAATTGATGCTGAAGCTCGAGTTTATCGCGATGAAATCCTTTAATTAAAACCTTTGATTCGTCAAATAGATTATCTTTTGGCGAAATATCTCTTTAAGCTAATATTTTGCGATTCTACTAGTTTTTTTTTGAAAATAATCAGCAAATCAGTATTAGATTTAAAAAGCCAGTAAATATTAAAAATTATATTTAAATCTATATTTGTATTAAATCCAATGGGCCTAGTTTTCGCAAAAAAAAAGCTAGAAAGTCAAGGAAATTTCAAAACCGTTTTGCAATTCGCTTATTTTTTCTTCCAATTTCAACAAGCCGGCCATACTCATTTTATTTCGATCAGCAGCAATTGAATCCATTTCATTTCGTAACTTTAAAAAAAATTGCTTATATACCAAAATCAATCTGAGAAAAAATCACATACGAGAATCAGAAATTTGAAAAATTTAATATTAATATTTTTAAATCAATATTTATTCAATATATATTCATTTATTAAAAATGGATCATGCAGGAGAATAGTGATGCTCTTGTATAAATAACATAAAACAATAAAACAATAAAGTTTTATTTTAATAGGACTAAAAAAATAGAACTAAATTTGCTAATCGCATTGGATCTAAACCTGAACTGAAGTAGAATTGAACTGAATAATATTATCCTGTTCAAAGCAAAGAATAAAAAATTATAAGATATATATGGTTATTTTTAAGTTAATAACAGAAAAGAAAATTAAAATGGAGCTTGGATTATTTTAAGGAAAAATTTTAAGGAGAAAACGAAGGTTGGATTTTAAGAAGTATAGTGGAAATGTCGAATAACTTACAATATCGAAATCAAATGAAGGAAATTTAATATTTTGTTTGCCATTATGAATATCACCGATAACTTTTTTTAAGTCGTTTGTATAATGATTTATGAGTTCTTCAATTTCATCTATCTTCATTAATAGACGATTTTCGTCATTTTTCCTGTTATTATCTTTTAAACTATATTTTTATACATAGTACATACAAATTTATAAAAGATTTCTATCAATTTTGCTGTGTAAACAAAAAGAATTTACCTCGATTGTGAACTAGTCAGAGTCAATTTATTTATTTTGTTGTCACCATCTTCAATTTGACTTTCTAAATTGGCCAATGCTTCATTGATGCCATTCAGCTTGTTTCTGCATTCCGCCTTTTCTCTCTAAATTCAGCTGTAAAAGGAATCTTTTTAAGAATATCTGCAAAGTATCTTGGTGTAGATGCAATTTAAAGAAATAAATTCAATGCGAGAATTTGGTAACCTACTGTCATTTATTCTCTGAAATAACTTAGAAACAGAATGACTTAAATGACAGAATCAAAATAAGTACAAAAACAAATGAATGAAGCTAAGTACAATAAATGAAAATAAGTGAATAGCATAGCCTGTTCATGGATCATACGATGCACAGCATCGAAGCACCAAATGTGGGCGCTTTTTTACTATAATTTCTAATTTTGCAACCTGTATCTGTAAGTAATGTTTCGTATAACTAAACGCTCTCAACGTTGCATCGGCTCCACAGCCACATTACTTTTTTGCTCAAATTTGAGAATTTCCATAGGTTTAACACCATACAAAAGTGCGAAGTCTAATTAAATTTAAATTAATTGAAGTTTATTAACGAATCAAGTTTATTAACGAAAGTTTATTAACTAATTGAAACGGTTTGTTATTATTTACTGAGAAAGGCTGATAGATAGCTGAAATTAATTAAAAGCCGTTCGATCTATTATCTTAATTCATAATTCAAAATAAATCATTGAAAAAAACTTCGTGATCTTCAGACATGTTGCGAAGCTCGTTTGACAAAATTTCCAGTTTCTTGTCGAGATCTTTTGCCAATTTTCTTGCTAGTTCTTCTTTAAATTCATTAATCTGTCTTTTGCACCACTAAATTTTATAATATCTTCTTTTCATATCATATCATTTCTTATCATTTCTTAATTTATCATTATCATTCATATCATTTCTTAATTTTCTTTCTTGCATTTTTGTAGTTTTTATTCATCTCATTAGCCGCACAATAAAATAAAATAACTGTTTCTATAAAATCTATAATGCTTTTAAGAAATATTTTATTTAGGAAATTTGCTTTTAAGATTGCGAGCAACATTTTGATCCTTATATAATAAATAGATCAAAACAAAATATTGGGTCACTCAAAAAATTCGGACTGTTTTTTTGATTTGGATTTATGGTCGTATATTTTTCTTGTCGTGCCATATTGACTAAATTATCGTATATCGTTTTGCTCACCAATTTTCCTACTTATTTTCACTGCAGAAATAATTGATCTTGAATAATTAAATAATTTAACTTTTTTGGATAATTTGGGTACGGTTTTATATGTGAAGGAGTAATTTTGTAATTCTTTAGTATAGATTAGCCAGAGCACTAAGCGATGCAAGCAGTTCAAAATATGCAAACAGTGTTTGATCATAAAAAAAAGAACAGAGCAAAAATAGTTCAGTTTGAAAATATAGCTTGAAAATATTTCTGACTCTTTATAAATTTATAAATGAATTTATAAAAGTGTTATAAAGTGAATTCTTGAAGAGGATACTAAAGGCTGATCCCAGAAGAATATTTAGCAAAGTCTTGGATTCTCATCTCGTACCGCGTGGAATCACTTGCGGTGGAAAAAGGAAAGGCTTAAATGGATATCCCAAAAACCAAATATTAGATGACTTATTTGTCATTCGGTACTATTACTATACAAAAACTTCTTATGGACGGATTACTTGCTATAAAAAGTGTTAAACACAGAAAAAAATCACAATGGCTGGACAAGGATTAACTCCCTTCCCTCAATCTATGCCAAAACCTAATTATTTTAATCTTCATGCAGCGATTAAAATAGAGCTGTATAGTAAAGAATTTGAAATAAAAATAACGAGCAACCAGCAATGATTAAGGAGGTCATTATTCCTGATAATGATGAACTTCTTGTCAAAGAATCGTTTTGCAAAAATTTAAGGAGTTGAACATTGAAGTCCTTTCTCATCTATCATAATCTTCTGTCAATAGGCTTTCAGTTCTTCCGCTCTTTTGATATTCCTCATGGAGACAATTTCGAAAACAAGAGGGCTTTCGAAAAAGCCTTTTTCCAGTTGACAACTGGAAAAAGCCACAAATAGAATAAATAGAATAAATGTGTGTATCATATTAAAGAGTGCACTGATTGTAATGGTATTATTTTGAATAAAAATATTCAATTTCAAAAAAGTTGTGGCCTTTTACAAAACGATACAAAATGACCCAAATTTTTTGAATGATCTAATAAGAATTTTAAAAATTAGAAAGAGTTGAAGGAAATAATGGCATAATCCGATGAAATTTTTCAACATTTTTTCTTCTATTCACATTACTTCTCATCTCATATTAATTATTCATTTATTACTTGAAACTTATACTTTGAAATAAAATTTACGTTATACAATTACGAAATAATTAAATTTTTCTTGCACACTATTTAAGTAATTAAATGGTTGGATCATTTCCAGCTAGCAAGCTCTGCTGGTTGGTTATTGTTAGCGTTCGTGAAACTGATGGTTAAATAGGAAAACGATTGGAAATAAGCCAATTCATAATAATTTAACAGCCCTCAAAAGGAAAATTGCCAATCATCAATATAAATAGCCGATCTTCGCCCTTTTCCCTAAAACCAAGCTAATTACCCTCAACGTCTGGGCAGAAGTGGGGCGATCAGGTGAGTAGGGGAAACAGGACTTTGGGAATTAGTGAGAGAAGTAGAGCGAAAGTTGTTAAGAGAGGACAGTTGCGAATGTTTTTTTACGATTATTGGCGAATTATTTGTCTGGGAAAAATTAAGAAAAAAATTATAAATTTTTCAACAATTTATTTTGTATTATTTATATTACTGTAATTTTTTATGTATAAATATTTTACTGGCTTATTAACCAAAATTTGGAACTTGTAATAATTATCATTAATAAATTTTTATTACTACTTGTTGTGACCACATGCAACGACAACAAGATTATAAATTGTGGCAGTGAGATGGTGAACAATTTAAAGAAGTAGCAAAATGACCAAAGGTTTTCGCTTTCTTCTATGTTGGCTTTTCCTAGCGATGGAAATACAAATGCATCGAGTACACCATCTAGATTTCTTAATAATAGGTTTGGTCGGCAGCATGAACTGAACTTTTAGATAAAAAGAGAATTTTGTTTAAAATCTTTCATTAAATGGAAAGAACTAAATTCTTAAGCTTAAAATCGCTTTAAATGAGTGATATGAGTAATGAATGGAATGTAGTGATATGTTAAGTTCTTTTCATATACACCATTTCTCTCAGTACTTATTTGCTTTTTCCAATTCAGCTAGCTCATCCGATTGCTAAATTCACCACTTCGATAGCAAATTATTTAGAAATAGGTCACTTTTAACGAGAGATTTAGTCAAGAGGCATGCATCAGACTCGACCTCAGTCGAAACAACTTACTATTTCACCATAAATAAATAGCAATTAACTAACAATTTACAAACCTCTTGTACATCGGAAGAATTTTTCATAATTTTACGATTTAATTCTGATTCATCATTAATATTTTGATTTACACCACTTTTAATATTTTTCGCATCTCTTAGCAGCTGAATTTCTTCATTCATCTTTTCCAGTCCTTGTTTAATTTTTCTTTCGAAATTTTGTTTTTCAAAATTTTTAAATTCTTCTTCACACAATATCTTTTGAATAATGCTGAAAATTTTGTAATTACTTTGGCATTTATTTGGCAGCTTAGGTCGATAATAAAATTATCAATTAATTAATCATGACAATTAGCCTTCGTCTCCAATTCCAAAGCAAGCAAAATAAAGGATTTCAGAATATTCAGTAGTATTCATAACCTTACAAAGAAACGAGTGATCGGCAAGACATACTCATCTTTTTGAAGTTGTATCATTTTCGAACGCTCGTCTATTTCATCTGTAATCATTCTCTTAATGTCATTAATCTGCTGGCATAGATCATTCAATTTGTTATCCACGTTCCGATTTGCCTGTAAATCAAAAATTCTCAATAAATTTCTTTTTGATTTAAACTTTAAATAGTTAATCTTGGTCAGCATATCTTATTTTTTCGAAATTTTTTCCTAACAAAACATTTTCCAATATTGTTATCGTTTCAGTCGCCCATTTTGATTTAACTTATAACTTACAGTTTGATTAATCGAATTACTGGCACCATTCAATTCATTAGTATTACGGCTCACTGCTAATTTCAGATTTGCAACGTCGTGTTCAAGTGATGATACATAAAATCGTTTTATTTTATATTTCCATTAATTATCAAAATAATGGATAAAATGATATGACATGAATGATAATGAAAATAAAAAACATGGAGGAAAGACCTTTCCGTCGTTCATTGTGATTCCTCGCCTCAATCCTTCAATCTCTTTCATTCTGAACAATTTTCATCAAATCGATTCATTAAAATTGATTAAAAGATATGTTTAAGGTGTTAGAAAATATGATTTTACTGAATTTCTACTTTCGAAGTCTTCTGCTGTTCACTGTCGCTAATTCAACAGTTACCATTCGAATGGAAAATATAAAAGCATTTCATATTTTATTTTATTCTACAATTTTTTATTATAGGATGAATGATAATTTCACTTACAGATCATTTATATCAATTGATGATAGTTTTTGATTTAGAGCATTCTGATTCGCTTCCAAAATTTTTCTGGCTTCCTGAATAAAATTTTCAATAAAAATTTCGTTAAGTTCCAAAATTTAAATTTTTAAATTGCTATTTTCCAACAATAATTCTCTTAGCCACGCGAAATGAAAGGCAAAATGAATTTTACCATTTCTTTTCTTAATAATTCATTATATTGCTGCTGTAATAAAGAAAGCTGATTTTGCAAATTTTGCAATACGTTTGAATCAGTTTGCTTTATAAGAGTTGGTTGTACGGCATTTACTGGCGCCTTCTAAATAAGTATAGCTATGTTCATTTAGAAAGAGAATATTTAATGAAAGAACGGAGACTGAAGGATTAACCAGAAAATATATTAGCTAGTGATTACCAATCTTCCATTGTAAAGTTTTTCTTGCTTGGCTGCCACTAATGAAGAAAAATCTTAAATTCCTTCTAAAAATTCTGTAAAATTCCTTGAAAGTTTTTTTTCTTGATACAAATTTTTTTCACATTTCCACAAACTAAGATAATATTTAATTGACAAGATAGATAAGTAAAGCTTATTTTATTTTTGACAGTTTATGAACCACAAACGATGTGAAACACAGGAATATGCTTTGTTATACTTGCAGTTAACAGAATAATTATCTAGCATAATCGAAATTTTTAGCTCTTTCTTACTCTATTGCCTTAACATTTTTTATAATCCCAGAATAAAAATAATGCTTTTTCCTTTGTTGTTGAGATCGAAAAAAATTAGGTGACGCTTTTTATGTTTTATGTTTTAACGCATCATTACTTGTTCCGCTTTAGGAAGATAAAGTAAAGCGCATCCAAGTCGCTCGCTCCGAGATGCCTGAGATTGAAAAAAGCCACTTTTTCCACCGTTTTACATTGCTGCGCTGTCTATATTTCTCTTTTAATTATATTAGTCTGAATCTTGTCAAATATCCTTTCAGGAGAGATATTGTTCGTAATTGGAATTCTGCATAGAACCTATCTTTGTAGCCATCTGCGCATGAAATAGGAGCATATTGTTATCGAGATATTACAGAGCTTTCCTTTGAAGTGAGTATAGGCTATACGGTGATATAGAAAGTGAAATAGAAAGCACCTTTGCTAGATATTTTAATTACACGAGATCTGAAGTGAGATAGATAGACGGACATCCAATGAGCCGGCGTATTCACATAATATTTGGAAATTTGGAGAAAGAATTGACATTTTTCGTCATTTCTGATCGTTCCATGTTGCTATGCAGTATCGGTAATAAGGGTTTGCCTTTCTTAACAGGTCTCAGTCATTTATTCCAGAACTCATTCTATTCGCAAAATTAGGAATTTTATTACCATGCTCGATTTACATACTTACCACAGGACCAACGATTCAGACAACATGCACATCACAAACGCAGTATCACTTAGTATAATCTGACTCTTTCACCATAAAGTCATTTCAGGATATTAGTACAGGTGGATCCTCAGTCATCCAGATTTTAGTTTTTCGTATAGCTTATAGCTTTAATCAAAAAAAAAGCAAATTTTATAATCTCTGTAATCGCGAGTAAAGCTATCCAGTCTAAACTATATTATTGTTGCTACTATTAATAAAGAGTTAAAATAGAAAAGAAATAAATAAATAAGAGAGGAAAAAAGCTGCTCCTTATTAAATAGCAGATTTAGTTTAAAAAGTTTTAAGAACAAATTAAAAAATAATTCAAATAAATTCATGATTGCTTTGTTGAATCGACCACTCGCTGGCAAAAATTTTCAACTCGCATTCCTATTTAAGGTCTTTGTTCGCATTTTTTTTCGCTAAAACTTGATTTTTCTCTTTTGATCGTTACCTTTCTTGAAAAACAGTTGGCATCTGTGATTTTAGCAATACCTTCTCTTGGCTGCCTCGGGCTTTCACCAGAAGGGCTGAAATACTTTTGATTAAAAAATTTTAACATTTTTCGCTACTCTTTATCTTATTCAACTGTCTTAATCAATTAATCAGTCTTAATTTATCATATTTTTCTAAATTGAATGTAAAAGCAAATCGAATGGAACTTTTCGGTTGCTTTCTTTTTTGTATTATGGTTTATAATCTAATTTTTAATTTCAGTTTGCTGCATCTACGATTTTCATAAATCAGATATTTTGCTTCACTTTGCATTTTAAATGAAAAATGGGTAGAAAAATCAAATGAAAATTCAATGAATAAAGTAGAGAATGAAGAAACATGGCAGAAAAATGAAAATTACTCGAGGCCAAGTATAATATCCTTAGCCGTATCTCTCGGTCCACTGCGTTTACGCGACATAGTAATAATAATAAGATCGAATTCAGCGAGCGAATATCAGGCAAGAACAATCAACAGTTTGCTTAATCCACTAGCATTAAACGATATTATAGATCAAGCATCTCTTAGCAACATTTTTGGCCTTTTTCCAAGGAAATTCAACATTCTCTTCTCAAACATGAAATAAAGATAAAATTTTATCAAATATAAATGGTTATTTAATGGTCGAAAATCATACTGATAATTGCCTCGTATATGCCCACGCCATTACGTGATAAGTGAGTTTTAAAAACATTTTGGATTCAAGGTTCCCTTTAGAAAATATTTCACAGGAATTTTTGGGCATTGTTTTCTTAGAAAAAATCATTCCTATTCTAAATAAATCATAAGAAAAATAGCGGGAAAATAATAAAGTAAAAAGCGAATGGATAAATAGAAGGAAAAAAATACGATAAATGAAATAAGCTATAAGAAGACATGAAATTGAAATAATGGGACAAGTATCATAAAAATCATATTTCATTTAACACCTCACAAACAATAACTAATGCTAATTGGTAGATTTATGTAACTTTACCAGGAGAATCTTAAACTCTCCTCTCGACCTTTATTTTTTCTGGAATCCCAGCATTTCATCAAATATATGATATTGTAAAAGAAAGGTAACATACTACCAAAAAGTGATAATATATTGCGAAGCAGGTGTTCTTCAGAATTCTTTTTTTACTTGATGAAAATCAAACTTAAGTTGCACCTTTGTTAAGATAAAATTAGTGGAAAAGATTAGTGAAAAATAGATAGAGATTTGTTACTGATAATTGTTGAGAATTTTAATGAGCATGAATTGTTAACAATAATAAAATAGCATTAAGATTTCATAGAGATCAAACAAAAATTCGCTAAGAGGTGGCAGCTATTTTAGTTGTAAAGTTTCAGGCAATGAAGTCGCATTTATTTCAACGTTCAGTTGTTCATTTCACGAAATATTTCGATTAAATTAGTCGGTCCAATTCCAATAGTGGAGTCGTCGCGATCTAATTTAACTTCTGAAATCGAAACTATGGGTGATTATACTTTGGCACGCACTCATTCCTTGATGTCACTTCGACCTCGTACTGCAGTTTTGGTTAGAAACATTCCTTGATGTTTTAGGAAAAAAAATTTTTTTTTATTTTTGTGATTAAATATAAAAAGCAAAAAGTGCATCTTATGAATATCCTTTCTTTTATTAAAGAAAAGAAATTCTTTTTTTATTATTGATTATTGTTGATAAAGATTCATTCGTCGGAAATTGTTAACAAATATTATTGAAAAACAATCATTTAAAGGTTACAAGAACAAAATCTTATCCAAATTTGACAAGCTATATCGCAGTTTCCAGCAAATATAAACCACAGTGGCCTTATCGCTATTATAAGGACTGGGATTTAGTTAGTCCTGCTTATTTCCTTCATTGATTTTGGTGTATTTTTATTATTTTATTCGAAAACAATAGGATTATTTTTTTATGTAAATTTTTGTTTTTTATTGCACCATAATCCTACCGTATAATATTTTGTTTTTTTTGTGGAAGAAATTAAAAGCTGAATTATCAAAAGATTAGATGTATTTTGCATCCACTTTTATATATTATATATATTTAATTTTTTTTAATTAAAATGCTAATATTAATAAAATTCCCTCATTCTCCTTCCTCTACTCTCCCACCCCAGATAGTAATATTCTGAAATCCACTATCGACTAATCCATTCATATTTTTATCACCAAGTAATTGGCAAAAATTTCCAATCGTATTAACAATCGAAAATTGAATCAGAAATGAGCACCAATCACTTGATTAGTTTAATTAACTTAATATTAATACGATAGTTAATTTTTCATGAAAAATTAGCAAGAAACTGGTCTGAATGGTGATGATTATTATGGTTTCACCGCAAGCCATACTGTTCTTTTTTCATTTTTTCTCGACAAAAAAATGAGGATTGCTTAAGGATAATAATAATGATAATAATAATATGAAAAAGCTCTCTTTATTGCCAAATTTTTAAAAAGATTTGAAAATTAAATTTTATTTAGCGAGTAAATAATTAACAAATTTTTTTAAAATTTTTATTTTATTTATTTTTTATTTTTTAATTTTATTTTATGAATTCTATTCAATCGACAGTAATAGTATTGAGAAATACTCCATCGCCAAAAAAATTTAGATTACAAAAAGATTTTCAATATGTATAAGAACTTTTATTTTTTCGTATTTATTTTTTATTCAAATAATATTTGTAGAAAACTGGATAAATTTCTTTTTGCATATTGACTAACACTGTTTATTGTCTTCAAGAAATCCAATCTCTTGTTTTCATCTTATTGAAAAATTAAGTGCAATCTATTAAAAGTAGTGTAAAAGTTAATCTCGCGCATAAGTGTGAAAATCAATTTTCAGTATGATGATTATTGGTACGATCGATATTACTACTTTAGTCCACTTTACAAAAGTACGTTAGCACCACGTCGATATTATTACAGTGATTATTTGCCAAATCCATATTATTGGAGTTGGCCATACAGTTATTGGACCCGTTACAAAGGATATTGGTTTGCTTTTTCAATTTATTACTATTTTCACAAATTAAAAAATGTAATGTTTCGTTGCATTTCATCCGAGGTTTTCAGGTACGATTACGATTATCCATCGTTTTTCCGCAGATATTATCTTGATGGATATCCTCGTTATACTTATGGGCCTTATTATTCAAATTTGGCGGATACTTTAACTACTTCACTCCAACGAGGTTTATCTTTATATCGCTCCGGGCTTATACCATATTCTGCATTCGATCGATACTGGTTAACACCGTCTTATTGGGATCGCCGTTTCAAGGTTTGTTGAATTTCGTTTGTAATTGACAAAGAATTATTTAAATGTTCTATATTTCGATGATTTTGAACGATATTGGAATGATAACGTGACCATGATTATTACTGTATACTTAGAATCATAATCATAGCGTCGCTCTCTTTGGACAAAAAAAGGATTTTAAATTTATCAATCTAATTTAAATTTATCAATTTAAACATTTATTTCACTTAATATGAATTTGGAAAATAGAAAAAGAAATAGAAAACAGAAAAATTCACTGCTGCGCTCTTTGTTTTATTTATTTGGAAAGTAAGATAGGCAAAGCTACAAGTAAATTTCGAATTTTAGAAATTTTATTTTTTAAATCCATTTTTCAATTTTCCAAAAGTTGTTGTTGCCACATTTTCCATTTGCTCTTACATCATTTCGATGAAAAATGTTTGTCAATCGGAAGTATGCTTTTCTTGCTTACTTTACGACTTATTCACCGTGAAAAGGAGAATTTTGACTGCGGAAAAAATTGCATTTCAAAAAATGGTACACAAAAGGTTTTTACATAAAGAGCTAAACCAAATATCCATTTTATTCAATGGTTTTCATTACACATTGCTGGGTGATTTTATCAATGCCAAACTGTAAATAAATTTTTTAAGTACTGGTACTATTAGGATTGGAGTAATCAATATGCTTGGAATAACGACAAAATTTATATGCCACATTATTATCATCGACGAGTTCGACAATATTTAACCAATTGGCTAACGTAATTCATTTATTGCTTGAATACTGCCAAACAATTTTTAATTGTAATTTAAATTGTAAGTAATATTATTATAACGGATCAGAATAAAATTTTCGCGAAATTTCGGTGGTTTCATTTGTTCTTTTGCTTTTGAAATAAATTGCTGCCAATTTTAATGTCAGCTTTAACAAATAAAAATCACATATCAAAATATCAACTAATGCAGTGAAATAACTGAAGAATTCAGTTCAGCTTTTGTTAAATAAGATAAATAAGATTAAGAATAAAATTAATACTAAAGTTTATTGCAACGATTATTGATTTCATAAAATCCCCTTAATGACGAAGGATGGAAAAGGAATAAACGTGATATCGGAAATGACCGAAAATAAAAAAATAATAATAAAAAAAGTAATACGGAAAACATTCATAACAAAAGAATTTATAAAGCATTTTAAAGATTCAAAAAAAGGAAAAAACAACTGTTTTTTAACAAAGCTTTCCACATCATAAGCAGTCAACAATAGGCAAATCGCACAAAATTATTTTTCTTCTTTATTCATACATCAGTTAACTAATTTGTAAAACCATCTTATTTACGTATCAAAAAAACAGTTAGAAAATTTCCTCATAAATAAAAATAAACTAATTTTTATGTAATTTTTGATCTACCAATGTTTTTAAGTCCAACCCAGAGGGGCAATGTGGCTCAGCAAGTGTGGGTTTTTATTTTGGATAAACTAACGATTGGCCTTCACCTATATTTATTAACCACTATCCTTCGCCAATATTCGCTTTTTTTTGAAAATTATTAACTAAATAACCACATTCGCTTTTATTTCGAATCTGTTAAATAACCATTTTCATCCATTATCGTAAATTGTATTTTTTAATAAATATTTTTATTCACTGTCACAAGTGCACAATTTTTTCCGACACATGATAGGAATTAAAATTTTTTTGTAAAAGTCAGTAATCATTTTATGTTGAGAAGATTTCATGATAAATCAAAACAGATAACAAACTTGGTTAATTATCAGCTAAATTATAATGGAGTAGCGATAGCAATTTCAGAATACTGCACAATTTTTCTTATAAAAATTATTATTTTCTTACAATTTCACTGATTTTTTTTAATGAGCTCAAAAAAACAACCATAAATTCGCCGTTATTAATAAATTAAAAATTGGTTGGATATAGTCATGAATGTTGGAGAATTGTTTGGAGTTTTGTTGCAGAAAAATTAAAATTTTAAGAATTTTGAAATTTAATGAAAAACAAGTTAAGTTTTAAACAACAAATGCTTAGCGTGATACTTTTGAGATTATTTTAAACCTCACTTTATTTTCATTTTGTGCTTCAATATGCTTTGTTCTTCGGCTTCTAAGCGAATTTTTTCATATCTTTTATTTTATTTATACTTTTAATTTTCCTCAGTAATAATTTATTTATAAAACAATTGAAAAAAAATTTTTATAATTCTTACTTCGAAAGAAAATATACGAATTATGAAGATCTATCTTGAAGAATTTTATTTCAAATATGGGTAGTCGTGAAATATGGAATTAGGTTTTTAATAAATTTTTTTGAATATATTGTGGCCAATTTTTATTCAATTTTGATCTAATAAATGATATTTTTGCTGAAAGGCCTTTCGAAACTGAAACTCACCAATATGATTACTGCAGAAATGTCTGACTCACCAATATTTCGAGCTCGATCATCCGTATGTTTGCCTAGATCTCGTTCAGTGGAACGTTTTGGTGATGTAGCTACATTGACAAGGTAAAACAGAATGAATAACTTCGTGCAGATTTGCTTAATCCTTAAATGCATTGTTTATAGAGTGAGCTCGGTACCAAATTTACAAGTTATACATGTCGGTGATCGCTACCAACCATCAACTTTATTCAAATATCGACGCGATTGGGATTTGGTAAGAACGTTCGCCTTCACTATTTTATGAATTTTATGATAACCTCTTCTTTGCTCAATTTCAAATGTAATTTCAATTAGTTGGTTAAAATTTTTGTTTTTGTGCCAGAATATTTTGAAGTAATCGCTTTAGTTTAATTCAAAAATAGGATTTCTATTAATAAGAAAAAAAATTCAGTTAGATGATTATTGGCACGATAAGATATTCTTTGAAACGCCGGTCTATTGGCAAGATTATAGATTCGCAGCAAGAAGGTATATCAATACCGATCCGATCCCACAAAGCCTTGGCTTTGAATATCCAGCTTTTTGGTAAATCTATGAATTAACAAATTTATGAATTAAAATCTATGAATTATAAACTTTTAGATATTTCTGGAAAATATCCACGATAATTTCCGCCCTTCGCACATAATTACTAACACTTGGTGGTACTTTTATATTAAACAGTTGAATCATATCGTAAATACAATCCAAATTTATTTCATAGACATGAACATTCTAAAATTTTATTTGTCGAAACTTTTTGAAAATAAGTGGCACTTTTTAAGTTTTAAATTAAGTTGAATGCTAAATGCTAAAAAATGCAAAAATTTGTAAGAATATATAAAATTGGAGGAAAAACTATTTTTTTCTGTTGTTATTACTAATTAAAATTAAAACATATGATCGAACAATGAAATCACGCAGAGCTCTATTTTCAACAACAGCATTTTACTTTCATTCAATGAAATTAAAATAATGGTGAGAATAATTAGGTTCATTTTTTTTGTTTTCAGATTTGACATTAAATATTTTAACTTTTAGGTCACGTTATAAGTGGTATACCGATTGGTTAAATCCGACATATTGGAGACGCTATCGTGATCCGAATTATGATCGACCATTATGGAATAATTGGCAACCTTGGCATTTAGATCGCATAAATGTTAAACGTGCTATACGAATGTTTCGAGAAGGTTCTTATTCTTTTATCATCAGTAAATGTTATAAATCGAATGGAAAAGCGTTCAATCAATTGTTAAAAAAATTGCTAGCCGAAAAAACATGGAATTTGTATTGAATTTAGCTCACAGACTTTAATTTACTTTTTACTTTAAATTTTAATATTTTTCGCAATTTTTCTCATATCTCATTTTAAGGACTAATTAGTTTTAAAACACTCGACAAAAGTTGGATAGAACCAGCAGCGCTTGGAAGAAAAGGAAAAGATTGGGCCGACATCTATCTCCCAGCAGGTATTAATAGCATATATATAAGTACCAGTTATCGCTTGTTGAGACGGCGATGGCCAATAAAATAAAGCAATGACAAATATTAAACGTGCTATACGAATGTTATAAATCTATATTGGGCAATAACGATATAGGATAATTTGGAGACCAGAGCTTCAAGATGGATCTAAAAAATATCAAGAAACATATAATATGCCATATTAATATACGTATGCTGGATATGAAAAAACCAAAGGATTCCAAAAAGAAATCAGTATTCGCTTCATCGATTATAGGAAAGTCTTTGGCTGCGCCGATCATTTCAAGCTATAGAGTTTACTCAGAAAAATGGAAATCCCAGAATATTACATTACTTTGAGAAACTTATATGCAGGTCAGGAAGCCATAGAATAGGGAAACAAACTGGCTTCAGGTTGGCAAAGATGTTTGCTCACCTTTCATTTATTTAACTTATGTTAGAAACATATATTAAGAGCAGCTTGCAAGATGTGTATGGTTTCAGAACTACATCAGTAACTTGCGGTGACCGAGAATGAATCTCCAAACTTTAGCTTTAAAAGTTAAAGAGAAAAAATAGGACTAAAAATTAAACATAAAAAATAAAAAATAAACATAAAGAAGACTTAAACTGATGATAATATGACATTAGTAGTAGAAAACCAGGTTTGGAATTGACAATCAGTATCGAAGTGAATGGTTCCTAATTTTAAGATCAACCAAAAATAAAGGAATAAGATATAAGAGTCAAGAGATATAATATAGATTAACAGTCAAGAGATATAACATAGATTAACAATGAGCAGAGGAGCCATAAAGATCCCAGAAAAGATATTCAAATGCGACGCAATGCTTTCATAGATTAGAATCATACATCTATGGTATTCCCTGTGCTTTATTGTTTGATATTGTATTGCAAGACTTTGATTCCCCTATGATTTAGAATTTAAGGTACGAATAATATTGTTGTGTTTGAAAATTGAAGATTTCTTAGTAGATAAGCCGATAGATCATTGGACACCAGAATTCTCACTCGAAGTACGAATGATTAAGTCCAAATTATCTTACTTTGTATTCCAAGAAGATGTTTTCTAGAAAAGGATGTATTGCTGGGAGCAAAAAAAGAGGTCAATGAACAATAGGTCGACAATATGGGCAGATTCAATGCACCATTGTTAGGTTCAAAAGATCAAGTTAAAGATTGGCATCTTAGAGAACATCTATCTATATGGTAGAGAACATCTATCTAACATCTATCTATATGGTAGAGAACATCTATCTATATGATAGAGAACATCTATCTAACATCTATCTTAGAGAACATCTATCTATCTATAGCTGGGAGTCGTAAAAGATTTAAGAGCACATAAAGTTTTACTCTCATTGATCGATATTATTAATCGTCGCAGTAGATAATTATTTTTATCTTAATACTAGAATTGTCGAAATATTTTATTGAAATTTTTATCTGTTTATTCTTCTTAATCTGTTAGACTGCGCAGAAAACATTGGTCTAACAAGGCAAATACTGAAACAGTAATTAGAAGTCGTAGTAATAATAATTATTAACGAAAGTAATGATTAGCGACAATAGCAATAAATAATAATAACAATAATAGTAAATTAATAGTAATAATAGTAATAATAGCGAGTGAAGAAAATTCTACAAAATTCATCAAATTGTCTTTAGGTCGCTATGGTGCACGACGATATTTTTATTCATTCTCTTAAAATTGAATAAAAACGAAATCCTGTGCTCAGTCTACTAGCGGACAATTCAGAAGATTAACTTTAGTGCCAGTTGTGCCACTTCAATGTCAATATCCAAATAAATGTCTTATACTGCCATATCTTTTGTTTCACATTTTTGCCCATTTTATCATATGCTAGGATATGGTACGAATAATACATGGATTATAAATCGAAATGCACTTTATACATTAACAGTTCATACACTTGATTTATTGTTATTATTATTTATAAATATTAAAGGATGACGATAAGTTTTTTGAAGAATACTCAGAATGGTTTATAAATGTGTATATTCTGGAAAGATTCATTCGTCCACATCTTAATAAACTGGTACAAAAAGAACAAAAAATATTTTTTGTCTTTAAAGTTTTCAGTTGTAGTCGTTATAAAATCTACAGCTAATAAAAACAATTTTATAAGCGAATAAGTTTTATGAACATGACGATTTCAATCTTCTCGATCCTCAACCTGAAATTATAAAAACTTTCATCTTAAAATAATTTCACTTCATAATTATTTTACGTTCATTTCTTAATGTTGAAGAAACGTTTCAATATTGTGCTGAGTTGAGTTGTGAAGATAGTTATTCGCCAGTTAATGCTAATGGTGAAAAGTTCTGACAAATATAAATCTGAGCGAACCCAAATCTAAGTGTCATATAGAATTGCAAATATTTCACACTCTTTAAGCATTCTATAATTTCTAAATTATGATTACAAACTCAATATGCCGACAAATATCACTGGGAAAATTGCCACCAATTTAATGAAACAACAATTTTAAAAAATTTTTTCCGTCCTACTCTAATTTTTATTTTTTAGACTGTGGAAAAATATAGAAGAATTAAACAGCCAGTTATACAAATAAGGTTAAATCGGCTTAAGTGGGGAATAATTGAGCAAATTTGGGAAAACATTTAATTTTCTTCGTTTCAAGCAAATAAACTTTTCAACCACATTTTACTTAAGTTTTCAATAAATCGCTTAAAATAACCATAATTTTTTTGTCATTACCATTATTATTAACCAGCGGATCCACTGCAGCAACAGAATTGTAATCAAATTTCTCATATAATTTTATATGACCCGGAACAAATTTTGTCCTCACGTTTGACTTATGGCTACGATCTTAAAATTTTATTGAAAATTTCATGATCAATTTTTTTCCACATTTATTACATTTATTATTCATTTATCAACTTTTGCGAATGGTGAACAGCAATATAAATATTTATAAAATACCTATTTGAAATAATTAAAATGAATCCTTATGAATCCTTATGATGAATCCCAGGTAAATTATGACATTCTATATCTTTAAATTCTGAACAGAAAAAAGCTGAAATAATGGTTAAAAGTCGGCATAAAAGTTCTAACTTAATTCAAGAAATCTAATTGGACTCAATTTTTTTGCCAGTGGAAACAATAAACCACTAGCGATAAAGATTTTTCGTTTTATTTACAAAAAGTTGATATAATATTTATTTTCATCAATTTATTGCCAGACTTTAAATATCTAGGATCTACTCTAATCCCAAATGGCCAAGCGAAAGACGAAATTATAACTGGGATAATGGCAGCTAGAAATGCTTTCTTCCGGTTAATGAAACCTTTGTGGACTCGTCGCTAAATCACTATAAAAACAAAAGTTCGCACCTATACAATCGCTCTCATTCACTTGATCTTGTTATATGGTCTTGTTATATGGCTGCGAGACCTGGCCATTGAGAATGGAAGATATTAAGAAGCTATCTGCCTTTGACCATTCAAGCCTAAGATATATCATAGGATCTACATTCATACCTAAGATATATATCTATACCTATCTATATTTTCATCCATCGGACGGACAAAAAACGTATGAGTATATCCACGCTCACTCAAATATCATCTGCCTTAATACTATCATCAGATAACGCAGCCTTCGCTGGTTAGGGCAGCACGTTCATCGCCGTTTACCACAGGAGTTGACGCATATTTCGTTACCAGCAGATAAACCCTGTGAGTGATGACTGGCGTCAAAAGCGAAGTGAAGTAGCAAAGACCTGGACAGACAGGAAAGATTTTGAATATATAGATGGACCAGCGGTATACGGACTTAGACGATAGAAAAAGGAATGGTTTCTACCACTACTAGCGATAGTGTCGGACAGCTTATAGACTTTAGTCTGATCTTTATAGCCTCCTGCGGAGCCAGGCTAACCAGTAATGGTGAGAACTGTTAGAAAAAGAAGAAGAATTAAACCAAAGTTATTTTTTAAAACGTCTATGAACTCATAAAAAATAACTCTATCTATTATCTGCATTATTTTCTATAACGATTGCTACGTTTTATTGTAATTATCATTTTGATTCTATTATCATCTTTAAGTTTCTAACTAAATTTAGTTCAAGCTGATTTAAATACAGTTTAAGAAAGTATAATTTGCTTGATTATTTATTTTGATTATTTATTGAATGAAACGCTAAAACGCTAATTTATGCATAATATGAGCATATGGAAAAGATCTCGATCTCAGATTGCAAAATCTCATAATTATAAGTCGAAACCCACAATTTCCTATGCTTTGCGAAAAATCTCCCCGATTTCTCTTAATACGCTATCAATACTTCTTGAAAATACTTCTATTGATTCATTTCCCGCAAATTCCTCTGTCTTCGTTGTTGATTTATAACATCCGATTACCCTTTGCATAATTTCCAGTTCTACGGCACATTTTTTTAACAACTTTTTAAGGACTTATATTCCTTCAGATCCGTTTGCACTATGTTCGTTATGTTCTCTTAATGTTCCAAATCTTATAGTATTTTTTTCCATAATTCTTTAATAATACAACCATAAATTGCCCCACATTATTTTGTGAGGTGTGAGGTGTAATGCTGTGGTCCCTTAGCTCCTGCTATAAATTTCATACCCCTCAAAACGCTTTACATATATGAATATCTCAACCTTTTTAAGCTCCCTTATGTTACGCTATAGCTTCCTTAATATGCCAGTTATTATTTCCTTAAAATCCTTTGCATTTATTTCCTTAGCATTCTCTCCACTCTTACATTTTTTTATACAACCTTTAATACAACCTTTAACTTGTTATGTCTCTTAGCATTCTCTACTGAATATTCTGTTATAACAACTTTTGCTGTGATTCATTGCAATGAAAAATTATAAAATTGTAAAGGAAATTGACAGATTTAAATAATGAAGCATAACAGAAAATGAATAGTTCTGAGCAAAAAAAAAAAAAATTTGGTAAATGTGAAAATAGTTCAAAAATGGTAGATTTCGATGTTAAAGAGATGATATTAATGAGTTTTGAATGGATATTATGGGACACATGGCATGGTTGAAAAAGTCCTCTAAAAAGGTTTATCACATGAGCTCAAGTATAACTAACGCTGATTATAACAAATGAAGTAGCAACCAAGGTATTGATTTAATCTTTATTTCTATATTATAAATGAAACATACCATTCATTTATCTGATTAGAAAATCAATTTAAATCGAATACCTTTCCTATGCCATCTCTTTAAAAATGGAAGCGCAGCAATGAATCGTTCTCGAAATGCTTCATTCATCCATGCGTATACAATTGGATTCCAACACGTCGCTGACATACTTATAACATGCGCCAATAAAAATAAAAAATTGAAATATGGTTTTATGAAATTATCCAAGTGTAAATCACGTAAAATATTCCTGAAAGTAATTTGTGAATATGTGAAAATAAACCAAAACAACCAAAAAATTTTTGAAGGTAAACTTTAACCAGTGATTTACCTTAAAAATATAGTATTAGCAATATATCAACTCAATAGTTTACCTAAAATTTGTTAAGATTTAGGGAAACTACTCAGATTTAGAATTAAGATTCATTAAAATATTCACGTAAAAACTTACAAAAAATTGAACGGGAACCAACATAAACCGAACAAAACAACCATTATAATAAGCATACGTAATAATCGCTTTTTCCGAATATTTTCGTATTCAGATTCTCGTCGTGCAACCAGTGAATTTCGACTATTTAAAAAATGCCATATTTGAATATAACTAAAGCCAATTATAACAAATGGAACGATAAACTGAAATTTCATCTAATTTTTATTTACACAAAATTTTTCATCATTAATCATTAACGAAGTATTTTGAAATATTATAAAATACAGCATAAGTGATTGATAAATGACAATTCAATGAAATTTTATTTCCGATCACATTTGTTGTAATTGTTGTAAATAAAAAAGAAAATTGAAAATATTTATACGAAAAACGCTTGCTTGCCAAAGCGGAATATATAAATGATTATTGTTTAATTATTACACCTGGTTCACTTTGGCACCATGTTCGATTTTACTTCTATCAGGAATGAGCCTAACATTAAAATCCAGACTCTAAGCCTACCCTATCCTCTATTACTATCATCTAAACGGGTCCTGACAAATTCCTAGATCTCATCCTAAATAACTGATTTTTGATTTTGCATGATATCTATGAATTCTGATTCAGTTCTTCCGCAATAATTTTTTTTTGACAAGTAGGAAAATCGTTTAAAAGTAGAAATTGAATTAGATATGAATTAGATAAAAATATTTTCAGAAAATAATAAATAATAAAATAATAAGAAAAGCCAACAAATAAAATCCTCCGCCATATTAGACGCATAAATAGTACAATTTTTAGAGACCAAATGAACAATGATAAATAAACCTGTAGAGCCATAACAATAATGCCATAGATACTCTTTAAGTTTTCCATAGTCCAAGCTTCTAGACAAAGCCAGAAGTTGCAAGGCTTTGGTATAAAAATCATGCTCATATGTATTGCATATGGCATCACTAATAAAAGCGATAATGCCCAAATCAAAGTTACTATACCAAGGCAAACCTGAAATTAAAATTAGAAAGGGGTTTAATTAGTAATATAAATAGAAAATTGGTGCTTCTAAGCGAGTTAAAAGAAGAAAAAATAGAAAATATTATCAAAAAATTCAAAAATAATTTTATAAGAAATAATTACATTTTACCGTTAGCAATGCTTTAATGGCTAAAAATGGCAAAATCAACAATTAACATACCGAAATTTGTTTGAAACTCTTAAAAACTATGAAAAAAATCATTTCCAGACTTTTTTAAAAATCTTTTTGGAAATTCTTGTTTCTTGTCGTCAAAATATGATTTTTTAAAGAATCTGGAAATAAATTCACCGGCATGCTCATATGATCATTGATATTTATATTACTATGATGAACTATAACAAAATAGCGATCGATAGCAATTGCCATAAGTGTGAGAGTAGAAATAAATATCGATGTACCCTGAAAAAGGGGCAAGCCATGACATAGCCATTCACCCCATATCCAGTGCCCAACATATAAATATAATGGAGTTAACCACAAAGATCTAAAAATTATTTGTTCATTTTATATCAGTGATTACAAGAATTTTTTGATTATTTAGAATTAGTAATTAATAAAAAACTGATTATAATTTTTTATTACAAATTGTAGAATAATAATTATAAGTATAAAAACCAATTAAAATAGAAATTAATAAAAAATGGAATCAAATAAAACGTTTATTTTCGACCGAATAGCGAAACCTGGAACAACCAGGTGACTTAGCATAAAAAAGTTTGGTAACCTATAATTAAACAAAAAAATGAAAGTGATTAAAGCCATAGGATAACAACAACGCAAAGCGGGAAGGCTTTCTTAATTTCACATGCAATTGACGCAAAATAACTCAAAAGTACTGAATAAGGAAAACGGGATTTCATTTTAACTATTACACCTTTCTAATAGAAAAAAACAAAAAATATATTTGTTTGTAAATTCAAAAAACTCACGTGAAATTAACGAGTAAATCAGAAATTGCCAAATTTGTTATAAAAATATTTGTAACTGTTTGCATAGCTTTATGGCTAATAACTGTGTAAACCACTAAGAGATTGCCAGATACAGCCAACACAAAAATAGAAACATAGATAACACCAAGAACAGTTCGCGTTAATATTAAATCAGCCATTATCTTCAATTAAGAATTTTTCATATTTCGGCACATTAACTTAATAAAATTTTTTTGGGAAAAAAACTATGGAAAAAAGTCTTTAAATATTTCTCACACGACTTATTATTACTTATCATATTATTTTATGTATATAAATCTATTTAACCGCGAAAATATAAATATAAATAAAATAAAATCTTACTTACCTTAATGCCAGAACAAACCGTTGTATTTAGAAATGTTTGGTTAAAATTTAGCACGTCAGTTAAACTTTCATCATTACTAGTCATACTTTTTTTTTATTTCATAATTTTAAAGCTTGTTTATCAAATAAAATTTCTGAAAATTCGTAACATTTAACTTTTAATTTTTTTATATAATTGCACCATTCAATAATGAAATTGCAATCAATTAAACAACAATTTAATTATTGTTACTACTAATAAACTAATAAAACTAAATCAGCTTGTAACTGAATCGGCTATATAGAAAGCCAATCGTCTCTAAAAATTTTATCCTTCTAATTAGAATTCCAATTATGAAATTGTTTTTTCAGATGATTCGATTTATACAGTTGCTTCTTAAATGTGATATAGGGTTTAAAGATGATTTAAAGATGATTCTCATTGGCATTATTCTTTGAGAAACATATTTTTGAGGTTATCTATTTAGAAATACTGAAAAGACTGAAAAGAATTTCATCATAAAAAGTCTCGAATCTTTTTTTTCGCATTTTACCTTAATGATTTGGAAAAAAATTGATGACAAGCAAAGAAAACGTGGATTATAACATTTAAGGAAGTAGAACTGTTTTGTGATAAGTGCTTTCTATTAATACGTAAAAATGGACAGTGCAAATTAGAGGAATTATTCAACAAAATTAAGCTAAAAAGGACCAAGATAAATAGGCTGAATTTGCGGATAATAAAGTACATAATGGGTGACATAAAAGTTTCTTTAAAAATAATTAAAATTAAAGAAAAATTATTTATATTTATCATCAATAAGATATCCAACCATTCATCCAACCATATATTGCTAGTTGTCACAGAATTGAGTTTGTGAGAAAAATTTGAAACTTATTCCAAGTATTTTACATTATGGAAATAAAATTATGATAAGGAAAACTTTTAATTTCATACAAAAGAAAATTTATTGAATAAAAATAAAAAATGATGCCATCAAATTGTAATACTTTTTACCGAGATGTTGATTCACGTTTTTTGAAATAGATGCTAGGACTATCTAGGTGATTTAATGAGAAAAGTGGAAGGAATGATCGAATTGTATGTTGTTTCGATTGAAATCAACGACATGTTTGATTTCTTTCCTTTGAAGGGAGAAAGAAAAAGTGGAATAAGGAATGATGGTAGCGCTATGAATTCACCCATACTTTTATCCCAAAATTACTTTGACGAGCAAGTATCACCTCAGTGAAGACAGCGAGGTAGAAAATGATGAGTATTTGAAGAAGAATAATGAAAGTAGGAACGGTAAATAGGGAAGAAATTTTTAAATTTATAATGCAAGTACATTTGAATAAGTGAAATCTTTTCTCTCCAAAAGATTCACAGTAGTATTTCTCATAAATATTTAAAAAAAGCTGAAAAACTCGTTTCTTGCTGACGTTTTTAAAGAAAATGTCTTATTTCATTATCTCGATTCTAAAATTTATGTGGTATGGACTTGCTTTATTGGTTTTTACCCATTTAAACGGCCATAATTGATGCTATAGAGTGCTGGACAAATCAATATTTTGGATTTATAGGAAAGAACAATTATCGCTGATTTCAATATGGTCGATACGATGGAGAGAAAAATCGTCTAAATACTGGAATTCGGTTCGTGAAGAAACAATAAATCATAAATAAGTTACGAATCAAATGGAAATTCTCTTAGTTTGAAACTAATCTAATAAACTAATCTAATTTCTGACATAATAGGGCATGAAACTGTTATTAACAAAAGCTACTGTAGTATGAACGATAAAACTCTATTTCTTCCTTTCGTTTCTTTCAGGCGAGGTTATGCTCCATTTTATTCACTTTTAATCCGTTATCATCTTGATGCTAGTTTCGCAACAAGCCTGCACGAATTAGCAATTCAAACGGCTAAATATAAAAGGATTGTCAGATAATGTGATATATTATAATGAAAAGATGAGTATATAGTCCTAACTATATTGTATTTATGAGAACACTGAAATCTATCAGTTCATTCATCAAAATAACGGAAAAGCGACATAAATATATCAAATTTCTTTGAAATGATTATATACAAATAAAATTCATTTTTCTCGATGAAATGCTAATTATTATTTTATCGTCTTTCTTTTTTTCTCCTTGTTCTTACAGCACCAATCATTTCTGGCTTGATTCAGAGATAAATGTACAGATGCTTTCCAGTATCTTCATTTTTAATGACAAATTTACTGCCATCGAAGTGTAGTAATTAAACAAATGGTATAAGACTTTAGTTAAATTAGCATACTCGACTGAATTCACCCAAAAAAATTATTACTGTTATTGAGAAATGCACCATGAGAAATGAGAAATATATTACAGTCGGATAAGTCGATTGCTTGATGTTTTAATATTTCAATAATAGTGTATTCAATTTACTAACGCTAATCCGCAATATGTCTCATATATCTTAGAAATTATCTTAGAACATATTTATCTGCAGGGTATACGACTTTCTTACGTCAATATTTCAAATCTTTATCCGATCAGACTTTCAATATTTTTCCGGAAAAAATCTAATAATTGAATGAGAAAAAGAATAAAAGATAAGGAATAGGAATAAATGAAGATAAAAAAAGTCGGATAAATGATTAATAATACAGTAGCAACACAAGAAAATTATTTATTGAAAACTAGCCAAGCAGAGCGACAAACGCCATGTGCTTGTATTAATAACAACAGGTAAAATAACAAATAATAATTAATGAGAAAAAAAGAAAAAAGAAAATGCGACAAAAATTAGCAATTTAAAAAGGAAATTACAAAATAATATAACATAGTGCAATTCGAAGTAACTGTATAATCGGATGGTAAAAATCCGATTTCACACTTCCTGCATGATGCGAACTTTTTAAATAAATGATATTATCTAATCTTTTTTTAAAGATAGCTAGGTATGGTATGATGCAAGCTATATCGTTCTGTAACTTATTCCAGTAATTAATAGTATGAATAAAGAAGTTATGAGTCCTTAGTTTAGTATAGGTAATTTTAGCTATTTTAGCCATTAGTTCTTGTTGGATTCAAATTTAGCCTGAAATTATAAAATTTTAAATAATCTAGTTCAAAACCATACATAACCATATAACATAACCATATTTTAAAAGAATCTTAAAAGTATAAATTAAATCTTATTTAATTCGACGAACTGAGAGAGAATCCAGATTGTTAAAGTTTTGTCTTTTATAATTACAACTGCTATTAGGAAAGAAGCATTGAAAATTTAACATCTTTGAAGATCTCTTTATTATGGTTCTACAGTGAAGGTCGAAATTGAGATTTTCATCAAGAAAATTATAATCAAACGAAACAATAAATTTTGCGTAAAAATTATCAAAATTTTCAAAAATGAAAGAAATGTTTTTTACGAAATGTTTTATTAAACAGAATTATATAGGAAAAAGAAAGGAATTTTTAAAACTGTTGAAATGAATCTTTAAAAAATCTAAAAATTAAAAAATTTAAAGCAAAATGTAAATAAAAGAATGAATAAAGAATAAATAAAGACAGTCATTTCAGGAAAAATTTCCAATTTTTTCTACGCATAAAAAGGAAGAAAGAATGAAAATATCAGTGAAAAGATTCATTTTTATTTTTTCAAATCATATTTTTTTCTTTTCTTCACGAAATATTTAATTTTGAGACGAAAGTAATTTAAATTTTTCACTTTTCGCATTTATCAATCAATCATCCATAATTGTAAATTTAAGCCGATTTTGATCAGAATAATTTATTTTTTCAAATACTGCTTTAAACGTGAACCTTTTATTTTAATAAGCTTAATTTTCGTGAATTTTTTCTTTTATTTATTCTTTTTTCCATTTTAATTACTATTATCATTAAATCAGCAAAATTATCTTTGAATTCATAAAAATATTGTAAAAAATTTTATCAATTCTGCAATTTTTTGCTTTCATTTAAATAAGACAATGCTAATGAAGACATTTGGAGATTGAACGGAAAAATAGTAAAAGGAACATATCTTCCATAAGTTGCGAATGCGAATCTGTTCATTTACAATTTCGATTGTTTAAGCACTTCGATGAATGAAGGAAAATAACTTTAATCATGGAAAAGCGAATTTTACTTTTATAATTTTCGAGTTATTAAAATGAATAATTTTTATATAATTTAGCGTTTTATTTACATGTGATTAATATTAAAATGACAAAATTTCATGTGCCTTGCCAATTGCAATATGATGGAAGTTGCAAGATGTCTACGACTTGCAATAATTTTTGTTAAAGTGCCTAGATTGTTAATTAGATGAATATTGTCCCGTGCAGTTCAAATATGCAGATTTAAAAATAATATTATGAAATATCAAATAGATCAATGAGTCCATCTCGTTGGTGTTGAAGATTCATCCAAAGGTATTTCTGTTCTCAATTTTCTGATGAAGAAAGCTTGTGCCAGAAGCAAATTGAGTTAGCCAAACTAGAAATCCTACGTGTTAAAAGAAGAAAAAGGTCTCGAAGTTTTTAATAAACCAATTTTTCGTAACAAATTATATCAGGCAAATCAGTCTCGCCATTAAAATGTGTTCTCATTGGAAAAAATAGGAATATATTATCAATTTAACTTATGTTGAAAATTTTTTAAAAAAATAAGAGAGTAGGAATGCATTGAAGCGGAAGACGCTAAATTTATCAAAGTTATACGAAAATTATAAGAAAAACTGCAATAAAGCATTGGAAAGGCTAATGCTAAATAGATAAATATCTTTTGAAAGTGCAAATTATTTAATAATGTTTGCTTTTTTTTCAAGAAAACATC